GGATGCTCTGAGCGGATGCTTTGTCAGTTTAAAGGCATGCACTGCAGTTGCATGCGATGTGTTTTGATGCTCTCTTCCTTTTCGGTACCACACTCTTTATTTTTATTTTCAATTTTGGCCTTTATGCTCTAAGGGTCGTATCGTCAGTCGTTCCTACAAGTATTGTAGCCATAAAGGCATGTTCTACCTACAATTATTGAAGGAACGACTGACGATACGGTGATGAAGTGTTGCTCACTTGTGAAACAATTGAAAAGTGAGGCGAGTCCTCGTCAAAAGCCAAAAGTGATTAATCTTGTTTTGTCCAGGGAAGCCATGATGCCCCTTGCGACCAATCACGAAGGAGATCGTGAAAAAAGTTAATAGATCTATTCTCTCCAATGAATAAGTGGTGTGGCTTGATATCCTGTGATGTCTGAAAAACATTTCTTGCAATTTCTGACGATTTATACATACTATCAAACACAAAACATATACACTGAAGAAGATTTAATTCCATGCTATTCGATGGCAACAGGGTGACTTGTGTAGTTGTCAGCGGCCACTTTTTGAGGGTGCGACAGGATTGACAGATTGTGCATTAATACCCCGCAACGTTGCCAGCTCTACATATAAATCTGCGATTGCTATACTTTTATATATAGGAATTTGGTGGGAGATCTTATAACAGCATGTATTATTAACATTTTGCGCTATCTTGACGAATAAGTACTTTTTTGTATATTAAAATAGCAACGTCAATAACACGAGCTTCAATAAGATCACTCATATCTACTTACTAATCTGGAAAGGTTCAGAAGAAAAACATATACTGCAAATACCTAAATGTAGATTTATTATATATATCTCATAGATTTTTCTACAAACAAATAAGTATTAACATTATTATGGTCCAGATGTTTTCATTTCCCAGCCTTTGTTGGCACTTGCATAAATCAAAAATTAGGAAAAAATTGAACTGTGTTGTGATATGTACTAGAATTCAGATTTATTTTTTATTAGAACAATAGGTAATATTATTGTCCATGGACACCCACAGAAATTTTTCTCAGGGGTGTTGATCATCATCACGACATGACTTTTTGTGGCTTCGATTCCAGTGAAATTATAGTGAGCTTTGCATATCAACCCTGCTGCTCTGAGAATAGGTGATTTAAAATGAAGTAAGGAAACTAATTTGGACAAAAAGCAGAACAAATCATCACTGGTTATTCAGCTATATAAAAACTTACAAATGTTATAGTCTGCAAATATCCTTTAGAGTTGTGCCTTTTGGTTAGATCACAAGTAATAGCCGAACTTCTGATAATTCTCAGGACCTCAGGGGTTGACACCGGTGGCTGAACTTTTCGTAGTGTTCCACAGTTCAAAATGATGATCTCTGATCTTCCTCAGCATCTGCCAGAAGAATGGCTACTGACTGGGGGCACTTTTGATCATATTAAGAAAGAAACTTCTGATTTGGAGTTTGTCTTATAGTGTTCACAAATATATTACAGCTTTTGGGTACTTACATTTTTATACTTGACAACTCTGAACAATGAATAAGCCGCCATTTTTTAGGGTGCGACATGGTTGTCATATCGTGCACCAGCAACACTGCTTTGTTTCCCATTCACCCATATGAGTTTCATTCCCCAGCTATCAAGTGCACTATGATTTTAACTCAGACTAAAAATATAAATAGACTTACCATTCTTACGGCACTGTAATGCATTAAGACAAACAAACAGAATTCAAAACAAATACAAACAATAAGCTGTGTATGTGCAGACCACAGCTGATTCCACCAGTGGCGTAGGTGTTTTTTTTGTAATGGTGTTCTGGTTAATACACCCAGTATCACCTTCCATGGCAGTGAAAAGAATAAACACAGAGAAGTAAACAAGGTTTTATTATTGGAACTTAATTATCAGGTTTATTGTTTCATAATACCCAGTACAAAGGTATATAAACAAGAGAGAGTATTATGTAAATAATAAGAATTGAGTAGAAAATTTCCTGTCCAGAGTATCAATACAAAAAAAAAATAGTAAGAAAATGATAGTAACCATGATCAAAAGTTGTATATAAAAAAAAAACAAACAGAAAAAGAATAAATAATTGATGCATCAATTTAAATATTCTGTCTTGATATTGAAGGCACAAAAAAACTATTAATTCCTTAAGAAAGATCTTAGCTTAAGTAGTTCCCTAAAGTATTTAAAAAGTTTGTATCATAAATTCAACTCATTCGTTTTATTTAGGCAAGCAAAGACATAGATTTGGTTCAAACGATCTGACAGAATATGCTTTCTCAATGGATTGTATAATGGACATTCCAGGAGGAGATGTCCTAAAGATTCGGTCTTTCGAGTATTACATATTGTACAATAGTCTGTTTGGTCAACCCTGTATGAAATATTATTTAGGAAGATTTTGAGACTACATTTATTATGGAGCTTAAGTTGGATTATAAATCGTTTTATACATAACGGTATACTTGAGGATTTAGCGTACTCTGTAGACTCTGATAGCCATTTTAGCCATTTAGCGCGTCAAAGAGTTTTTGTATTGATATACGCTGATCCAGATATGGATGTAAAACATCTAAAAAAAAAAACAAATTTCATACCTAGGTAGATCCCTGCTTTCCAGTTGCTCACTATTTGAATGGCTTAGGGCAATTTCCTGGGCAAGATTGATTTCATTCTCCTCAACACTGGAATCACTTTAAAATAGATAAGTAAAAGTATAGCAACAAAATATTCCATTTCATCCAACAGCTAAATATAATTAAGGACTTGCTCTGTTTGCCTCAAAGGCTCTACTGATGGAACTGCTGAATGCTTCAGTTGAGTTCTTTTGCCTTCTATTAAATCAGTTTTGTGAAAATGATTTGCGCAAATAAAGGCATGAAGTGGTAAATCGTTTATGTCAATATTGAGGATAGTGCACCATTCTTCTTGTTTTTTCTTACCACTAGGAAACCTCAAAGATCAAAAACGTGCCTAACAGAAGAGTATTTTTTGAAAATCACCACACATACAGTGTAAAAACAACCAATAACTATAAAATGTCTATTTCTTGATACTAAAAATCACAACGCATCCCCATGCGCTACGCCCTTGTCCTCCTCTAACCTCTAACTCACCTGTGGAAGGTTGCCTCAGTTTTTTCACTGCTAACTCCACAAAGAATGCACTTCCGACGTCCCATTGTCTTTGAAAATTGTCTATCAATGATAACAATGCTATAATTGCCGCTAAAACAACCTGAAAACACTTTTGAATACTCGCAACAAATTCACTGTGCACAACAACAAACACCAGATGTTTGTAAATTCTGTGTACGCATCCACCACTTGCCGTTGAACACCGTTGCCACGTTCGGCAAAAAGTCGGTAGAAATGTGCTACTTTCGAATGAGAGAAAGTTTCGTCCAAGGTGGAACAAATCCAGTCAAACAACTGACTGGGCAAAATATTATATGTAATGTTCGCTGTGAATTACCCAACATGAACCTTCATCCGTTTTGAATTGAATTTACGGCGTGTCGGCCACCTCTGTGACCGTTTTTGCGAGTATAAACAAATATGAAAAGAAAAAATAAATTTTTAAAATTTAAAATGACGTTGACAACTGCCTAGGAGCAGTTGTTTGATCGACCCACGATCGACCGGAGCGTCCACACCTTATTTAAGTCCACCTTCATTTCGGGCGGAGTGCACACCAATATCTCATTCCATTTTCAATAGATTTTTCAGTATGGAGAAGTGGCAGCGTCGCATATATTTGTTTACCGTAAATACAGTCATGTTGACGACGATATTTTGTAGGGAATTATTTGTCTATTTATATTTTTAGTCTGAGGATTTTAAGGTGATTTTAAGTACGATCCTGGCCATCATGAAGTGACATCTGTTAACTTGATTTTTAACTAACATCCATCTAACTGCGGTTAAAAGAATTTGTGAAGGAAAACGCTCTGGAGCTGGAGCTTGACAATGCCAATTATAACTCCTACAAGTAGATGGCAGAACAACCCTGTTGATGGTGACCACTAGTGGTGTTGGTTATCGTTACTTTCGAGTACCCGTTACTCTTCTACAAAGTAATCGTTTATTGTATTCGTTACTTGGATTACTATGAGTAGTATGAGTATAACGATTTGGCAATGTGCGTCGTGTGATTAATATCGAATTTAAGCAAGTTGAATGGAACCGAATCTTGTAAGAAAATAGACGAAGTTAAAATTTGCAAAATGTTATAAGCATAGTTTATTCAAGACTATCGTATTTAATGCAAATATTGTATCTTCAAACTGTATGCTTATCGAGATGAGTTATCATAGGATGGAGTGTCATATGACTCATATGAGCCTACAAACTGAAAATACTTTGTATTTACTACAAATACTTAAAAACATGCCTTTTAGTCAGAAAGATGATCTGTATATGGGCTTAAGGAAATTCGAAATGGCATGTGACTTTTCGAAGCATTTCAATTAAGCATAATGTACCAGTATAAAAAATTCTACGTTGAGCTTGGTCTACACATACTATTGGTGGTCATACTGAATTATATTTTTTTTAGCAAAACAGTGCATGGAAACACGAGTCAAATTGACATAACTTTTATTATTGTGGTTTTCCTGAACGGTGGTGTTACCTTGTTGTCGCTTTTCTGCCTCATAATACTGCCGAACTTTGATCCGATCCAATCGACTACTTATTCCTTTTCAGGTTCCCAACATCACAATAATAAAACCGAATTTGTGTCACGGTGTAAATAGGTAAACTTCAGATTTAAAAACAATTACCAAATTCTATGTCCGCCACTAAACAAAATGAGTTTCCAGGTTTCCATCTGAATGTGAGATGTCTGGCAACCCTGGTGCATGAGCGGCAGTGCTACAGGTCTAACCAGCGTTACCACTCAACGATCAACGATTATACAGGTACCGGGTAGGGATACGGAAAACAGAGTAATCAAAGTAATCATTTCGTGCTCGGATTAGTACTCGTTACTTCGGGTATCTATGAGTAACGAGTACTCGAGTTTCGTATGATTACTTTTTCAACACCACCAGTGACCACTGACATGTGATAGTGATCGCCAACCTAACTTTTGTTATTTGTTATTATTTTGTTTCTTTTTATCTTAGTTTTCCGTTTATTTTTTTTTGTTCTGGATATTTTCTATGAAAAGTATATGAAAACCATAATGGTTTGGTGAATTTAGTGATGTTAATCTAAATCCAGGGTTTAAATCCAATCATATACATGCAGGCAAGAAAAAACTTGAAGCTCTGCTAACATGGACAGTGACGACCTACTGGGGCCTCTGAATGAATCTAAAGACGACTACCACTCATCCGATGAAGAGGATGAGTGGTCAGATGGTTCAAGCTACAGTTCCTACTATTCAGACTCCAACAGGTGGTTATTTGCTTATTTATGCAGATTTATAGACTCATCATTTTGCATCTGCAATCTTTGCAATAGATTAGTAGCTAGGATTCATATAACCTGATATGTGCCTGAACTTTGAAGAAATAAAGACTATTTAAAATCTTGTTGGTGGTCATTTATCTAAGATTTTAAACAAATGCATTGAAACTGATACATTTTGCTACTTTTTGAGCACTTTTTTGATCTATTGAAAGCATTTGATTGAGCGTCCCATGTCTGCCTGATGGAAAACTTTCAAGACAGAGTCCTTTATAATAACAGTCTTATATCTTCACACGTCAATATGACAGAGTTTAGTATTCAGCACTAGATGGAGTGAAGTGACACCCACAGTTGTTAGAGGTAACCCAGGGTTTTATTTTAGGTCCCATGTTATTTATATTATGAATAATATCATACCACTCTCAGTGCTTAGCAGTGGCGGCTCGTGCCAATTCAGTGAGGTAGTGCCAGAATGGAAGCCATAATTTTGAATCGATTCAAAATTGTAAAGAATAACTTATAACTTACCCCTGATAGTTAGTGGTCAAAGTTCTTGAGGTTCAATAAATCTATATGTCCAAAAAAAAATCAAAAATAAAACTATTTACACACGCGCACCAAATTATAAAACAAGTGTGGAGAAGTACCTATAACTTCAAAGTTTTCTATACATGAAGTCCATTCTTCTTTCTTTTTGGTAGCAAAGTTTTCGATTACCTTATTATTAAAATTTTCAATGCCACTAACAAAATGTTTTTCTGCAGACAGCATTCCTAAAGCACTAAGCCTTTCTTCCTTCATTGTGTTTCTGAGGAAAGTTTTAATCCGTTTCAGCATTGAAAAAGAGCGTTCTGCTTCAGATGTTGACATCGGTATAGTGATTAAAATACTTAAGAGCTTAAGAGTTTCTTGAAACGTACAATTTAATCCTTCCTCGTTCAATAAAATGGATAGTGGAACAGCTCCAGAAGTAGTACTCAATTCTTCTCTCTGATATAATACTTGTAACTCAGTTTTAAGCCTGTTTTTGTCTAAAAATGAAAATTGTGTGCATGGGTCATTTAAATGTGCTTCAGGAAACTGATGTTTATAAACAGAAAACTTTTCAGACACAAATAAATTAGAAGCAACTAAATGCCCAGAAAAGTTAAATCTTGTTCTTATTTGCGATAATACTGCATCGCATATTTCTAACGCTTCCCGTTTTTTGCTGCCTTCTTCAACTTGCCTTTTTTTCTTGCCGGTTCATCAGTTTCTCTCTGCACTCGTTCAATCTCGTCAATAATGCTATCCATTTGTTCTCGTATAGTTTGAATTGCTGCTTCAAAATTCTCTAAATCATTTTTGACCTTAACAGAATCGGTGCATACTTTTTGTAATTGGTTAAAGACAATTTCAACATGTGGCATTATTTTATGGAATATACTTAGCCAAAATACAAAATTTGTATCTTGCAGCTTTAATTTGTACCCACTGGCTTGATTAATCGACGAAGAATCGCGTGAAGTACTTTCTATATTGTCCATAACTTCAATCAGGTCTTTCCTATTTTCATAAACTGTATGAACACCTCGTGACTGAAAATTCCAACGTGTTTGGGAAGATCTTGGCAATCTGCGATTAACTATTTCATCCAAAATTTTTGTTCTTTGAGGAGACGTCGAAAAAAAAGAGCACAATCCAGATAAATTATGGAAAAATATTCTAGCCTGCTTATTGACAGAGCATGCGCTTGTCATAATTAGATTTAACTGGTGTGCATAGCAATGAACATAATTTGCAAGTGGATAAGTTTCCTTAATAATCTTTTGAACGCCATTCAATTCACCACTCATAACAGACGCACCATCATAGCTTTGAGCTATTAATTTGTTTGGATTTTGATCTATTAATGGATTTACAACATTTAAAACGCATGCAGCGATTGATTTGGCATCGTGTCCGTCGGGGACGTAAAATCTCCAAAATCTCTCAACTGGTTGTCCTTTACACAAATATCTGAAAATAATAACTAACTGAAATTCACAGGCTACGTCAGTCGTTTCATCGGCAATTACTGCAACAAAAGGAGAATTTGCAATCTCCTTCTTAACTTCTCCATGATAAACATCTAGCATGCACTCAAGAAGCTCGTTTTGAGTTGTTTTTGAGGTACCCTTGAAAAGTTTGGCACTTTGAATATGGACTTTCAATTCGTTGTCTAATTCGGCGCTAAAATTCACCAGCTCCTTAAATATGCCTCTGTTTTCCGAATTTTCCTTTTCATCGTGACCCCTTAAGGCTAACTCAAATGCTCCACAAAACCTTATACAATTAATAATTTTATTCAATACATATCGATTCTTATCCACTTGATTATTATGTTTAATTAGATCATTGCGATAAGCCGAATTGAGTTGAGTCCTTATATTTAATTTACCAAGAATAGAAAAGCTAAAAACATTATTCATATGGACTTTAGATTTTTCGTGGGTCTTCATTTTATCCCATATATGTATAAGATCATCTGTACCTTTTTTTGACCAAGTCTCGTCACCTCCAAATAGAACACATACAAAACAAAATAGTTTATTCGTTTCTTCACAACCACATTTTATCGTACACATTTTTATTAAATTTGCGACAGCGCGATTTTTGTCCGCTACCACTTTGTTTCTCAATTTTTAAATCGGGTATTGGCCGTCCTAATTCTTTAATTTGCAGTTTTTGATCCAGCGAAAAACCACTAAATGAGTTTTTTAATATCCCGATTTTATTCATTTTCACTAGTTTTAATAAAACAGTAAAAAATATGATCACAAAACAGAGCAGTTCATTAACACTAGACGTACTAAAACAAAAACGTTATTTCTCACTTTTCAGGTAAAAAAAGACCGAAATCAGCACTAGACGTAATCATAACGAAACGACCGACCGAACAAAAACACCGCCGATATCATTTGATAACGAATTACGACTGATGATGTGCCTGGCACAAATTATACTTGTCTTTCGCTATTCACCTCATATAAAAATGTGTATTGTAGCGTTATCTCTGTCGCTCGTATGCGATGCTGGTAAAATTTCTCTCTTTTTATTTGGGCCGGCCCGACATTGGCACAAGTTGATGACGTCAAGGTCAAGGCATGCTTTATATCTCGTCGCGTGGTTCGGGTGCTTGCGGTGTTGTCACGTTGTCAGTGTTGTCACTTCATATAATTTATACCAAAAAAAAATGAAAAAGCAAAAAATAAAGTAAAACATTGAAGATTGAAAAAAATATTCTTTTTGAAGAAGACAAGGTAGTGCCATGGCACCGTGGCACTACCTCACGAGCCGCCACTGGTGCTTAGTGCTATATGCAACCTTTTGTTTTTTGAACCTGAGGATGTACTTCACAATTCGGCGGCTCTGGATTGCCTCACAGCGAGGCATCCGGTATCATTAATATGGGTACCTGGGCTTGCTGGTATAAGGGGCAATGAGACGGGGGACACTCTGGCGAAGACAGGATCAGCCAGCAAGCTTGTTGGTCCTGAGCCAGCTCTAGGAGTGTCCGCGTATAAAGCTAGGAGGAAAATGGAGACGTGGGTTGCAAGACAACACTCTCAGAAATGGAGAAGTATCTCCAGACATCTCTGCCAGGCACGGGAACTCATTGAAGGGCCCAGTGCTAAGGATGGACGCTTCTGCCTACCTCTGGATAGAGCCAACCTAAAGTTGCTGGTGGGACGGTTGTCTGGCCATAACACGTTAAGGCGTCACCTGCACGTGATGGGGGTGGCTAAGGATCCCTTGTGTGAATGCTGCGGGGTAGAGGAAGAGACCTCGGCGCACGTTTTGTGTCGCTGTGAAGCTCTGAGCTACTATAGGCAGACTATACTGGGGTCGATTACTTTGGACCCTCAGGACGTCAAGGAGCTTGAACTCAAGGCGATTCTCAACTTCGCTAAAAGATTCATTCATTCACAATTCGGCCATTCACTGAATCATAAAATTTATCATGTTAGCATCATTTGATGGAAGATTCTCCAGAAGAGACCCATCAAAATTATTAATAATTGTTCCTAATTGTACATAATTTATGTTTTGTTTTAAATTCTATTCTGTCGGCTACAGGCCAAATGGCTTGATGGATTTTGGCATGTGAGGTATTGTTGGATTCGCCTTAGCAGTGAGTTACACTGACTTTATTAAAACTTTATAAAAACAAAATGGTAGATTTGACTCAAAGATCAACTTTGAAATTCCTATTTCATGGGATACAGCTGAAATGGCTTGTTGAATTTTGATATATGAGGTGTCTCCAGATTTGTCTTGATAGTGCAAGTGACACTGGGCATACAAAAATTTTATAAAACCAAATGGCGGCTTTTAATAAAAAAATTCAACCTAGAATTTCCTATTTTACAAGATAGACCTTAAATGGCTTAAATGATGAATTTCGACTTACAAGATGTCTCCAGATTTCTGTTTTAAATGTGTACTTGTTTTATTATGTTCCATCTCCTTTGTTGTTTTGATGTCTTTATGTCTTTGTTAAAATTTAGGTGGCAAGAAAAGCAATTTAAATTTTGAATTTCTTCTTATTTAACTTGTTTAAGTGCTATATTCCTGTTTGCATATATGTAGGAGCTAGAGGGACAACGTGGTACTAGGTGGATGGATGACTCTCCTCTGCTCCTACTTGATATGTCCATGTTAAAGTATAATTACAAAATCATTTCAACTTGAAATCAAAGAATAATTCATCCTTGACAATTGAATGAATAAGTAGAATAATTTGAAAAACTCTGCTCAAACTACCCTAGATAGTAGATCTTTATTAATGCCTGTCTGAGCCTTTGCCTTTATATATAATATTATAAAACTTCATCAATTTCCAGCACTGCACCTGACTGGGAGCCTTATGTGGACGACTTCACTGGTGAACTTCTCTATATTGAGTGCCATCCTTTTGTTGTTCAACATAATAAGGATAACAAACCCAGTAGCCATAGAGAATTTTTCACCAAAAGCCATTTAAGACATAGTACTAGAGGCAAATTCTTAAGACTCATCAGAAAAAGGGAAAGTAAGAGGAAGAAGAAAAATCAGAAACCACTTGAAGTTGCTGATACCTCAACTACATCAAAAGTTAAATTTCAGGTAGTTTGATACCTACATTATTTCCATTATGCTCATTGTATATATATCTGAACTTCTCCATATTACAAAAAATACAAATAATATATCACCTACTACTGATACTGCTAGTCATAAGTTCAAGGCTTCAGAATTGTGGAGGCCACCTTTCTCAAATTCATTATAAAAAATGATGCAGTCATGCAATTATTTGTGTCGGATGCTGTGTGGCACATAATACCATATTTTGACCAACACCATTTTCAAAGAAACATGGACCAATTCATTGGCTTTAAAAATTGTTGACTCACACCCTAGTATGTTTGACCAAGACAGTAGGAACTTTAGAAGCCATAATTCGTCGTATTATAGTAAATACGATTCAGAATGTTATCAAATACTGTCAGGTTATGGTATACTCAAAATCAGTAATTAGTAAAAATAGTTAATAATGACATGATCTTAGCTTTCCAATGAAGTATTACAATTGAGAGATTTCTAACATGCATGTTCTTTGTTTTATTTTATTTTAATGTTATAATGGGTGATTTTTTTGCTAGTATCTTTTTGGCAACACTGTTTTTGACAGATGACGCGTGAATCGTGTCTTGTGTCATTGTCAAAATTGTTCAGTTTGGTCTATAATTTAACCATGAATCGACTTACGAACGAACAACGCTTGAAAATTATTGAATTTTACTATCAAAATTCATGCTCGGTTAAGAGAGTGCATCGAGCACTGCTTTCAATTTATGGGCAATTTGGTCGGCCTACTGAGGGAGCTATTCGGAAGCTTGTGACTAAATTTCGAACCCAGTTTACATTATTGGACATTAAACCACCAACACGCAGACGTAGAGTGAGGACTGAAGAAAATATTGCGGTTATATCCGCCAGTGTTAGTGATGACCGTGAAATGTCGATTCGCCGCCGTTCGCCGCAATTGGGCCTCTGTTACTCCACTACGTGGAAAATTTTGCGACCGGATTTGGGTGTAAAACCTTATAAGATACAGCTGGTGCAAGAATTGAAGCCATATGACCTCCCACAACGTTTCCAATTTGGTGAATGGGCGCTGGCAAAGTTGGAGGAAGATCCACATTGTTATCGAAAAATTGTGTTCAGCGACGAAGCTCATTTCTGGTTGAATGGGTACGCTAACATGCAAAATTGCCGCATCTGGAGTGAAGACCAGCCAGAAGCATTGCAAGAGCTACCAATGCATCCCGAAAAAATCACTGTTTGGTGTGGATTATGGGCCGGTGGCATCATCGGGCGTACTTCTTCAAAGACGACAATGGCCGGAACGTAACTGTGAATGGCGAGCGCTACCGTGCGATGATAACAAACTTTTTTTGCCCAGAATGGAAGAGCTGGACTTGGCTGACATGTGGTTTCAACAAGACAGTGCCACATGCCACACCGCACACGAAACAATGGCCCTATTGAGAGGCGAGTTCGGTGAACAGTTTATCTCACGTTTGGGGCCCGTCAATTGGCCGCCTAGATCGTGTGATTTAACGCCGTTGGACTATTTCTTGTGGGGCTATGTTAAGGCTAATGTCTACAGGGATAAACCAGCAACGTATGACGCAGTGGAAGCCAATATTGAAGCATTTATTCGTGAGATACCGGCCGATATGTTGGAGAGAGTGTGCCAAAATTGGACCTTGCGCATGGCCATCTAAAGCGGAGCCGCGGCCAACATTTACATGAAATAATCTTTAAACATTAAATTATATCGACCGTTCTATCGACTCAAGTAAAGATTTAATCGTTTTTTCTAATTTTTAGTTTTTTTTAAATCAAATCCTATACCTCTTAAAAAATAACCCGTTACATCCAAAATATATAACACTCCAACATTATTCACAGGATTCTCAAGATGGTGAAGAAAAAGAGGTTTTACTAGAAATAGATGCTGAAAACAGACATAACTTGAGCAGTGACAAGTCACTTGCTGAATCACTCCTTGGACTAGTTGTTAGTGCTCTTTCAGATGGTAATCGGGTGATGATTGCAGGGTTTTCATATGACAGTAAAGCTAAACATGAAAGGAACATCAAAATTGGTGATTGGCTTAAGAGCATCAATGACATTGAAGTCAATGTTGACAACTTAGACGACATCCTACAGAAATTCATCAACAGGGATGTTGTGTTATTGAAACTTCAAAGGGTCACTGGAGTAGATGTTACAAAAGATCCGCCCATAAATGAATTGAACAATGAGTCAATATTTGTTAAGGAGTTCCTTTCAAATCTCTCTAATGTAAAAGATGAGCAGCGGCTGATGCATGTGCTATGTGCGAGGCTTGTAGGTATGTTAGCGCTAGTTTGGCCCAAAATGCTTTAATTTCACCTATGAGTTGGACAGTAAAAAGTATACCATGGATAAGAAAAATCAATTTACTTTTTGTAAAGACGAATAAAATCTGGTATTGGCGGGATTAGAACTCCATGTTCCGATAATCTGTATCAGCAGATGAATATGTCTTTAAAGGATAGGCAGTTTTATATTCTTTATATGAATGTATATTATAAAATAATTAGATTGGTCCTAATTAGGCTCCTTTTTTTTGGATAGATAGATAGATAGATAGATAGTTTATTGTCCTATTAGATCATGTTACATGATATAAGACTTGTCAATATCAATTTGAGGGTCATATATGCGTTTGAGCAAATATGCCAGAAAAATACTTATAATTATAAAATAAATAAGGACATTACAATTACAAAACGTTTTAAAAGGTTAGATCACATTATAGGTACAGGTACAGTGCAAGAATCGTAATCTGTAACGGTAAAAATATATACATATACAGCGACTTTTTTTATCACAAAAAATGTTCGTCTAGCCGGTAAAAATCATTGAAGCTGATACAAAGAAAAGAAAAGCTGTAGGAGAATCCGTTAGAAATACATAATATATAAACACAATAAACATCGAGCAGTGAGGACAAATGGTTAAAAGCTTAAAAAGAAAACATACATACTTTCGTTAAAACTCTAATAAAAAGTGAAATCAAAATACATTTACTCCACGATAATAGACAATTCACTGATAACGAAATGATTAACAGCTTTAAAGAATTTAAAAAAACAGATACTTTCATGTGTTAGTAAAACTCATGTAGAGAGTAATAGCATTTTTCAACCAGATATTTCCTGAGATGTTTTTTCAGCGCAAGGATATTAGTGCTTCTCCGCAACTCACTCGGCAGATTATTGTATAGTGCACGCTAGAGTGGGAGATTTTTGGAATAGGGCAGAGTTATGTGTCGGTATACTCAGAAAAATTAATCGAAGTACTCTTTTCTGCAGGATGAATAATCTGTTAATCATTGTTGCCTGTCCCCATATGATTATATTGGAAATTGTATTTTGTGACTGACCCGATTGCCTTACAAATAATAAAGTACTTTTAATTTTGAAAAGAGTACCTGAATTGTGGTACTAGAAAAAGTTTTCCATTTGCAGGTATGGTTTACATCAATACAGAAAACTTGAAAGAAAGCAACAAAGACAATGAGGATATTGTTTACTGTTTTCCAACACCAGTGAAAAGTAACGTCTTGTCTACCACAAGAGGCATGTACATCACCTTGAACCACCTGTTGAATGAAATAACCAAATCAAAGCCTCAGGTGTCATCGATAGATCACAATGGACAAACAACACACATTGCATACAACAACTTTGGTTCGAAGTTGCTTCTGTTCATGTTGCCAGATGTTATGGCTTCCCGTGATGATACTTTGCTGATCAGCAAAAAAATTGTTAGGTTGCTTGAGTTTACGTATGATTCCATAGACAGCTGTTTTGCTGATGACCTCAACATATGCCAATTGAACCACTTTCTAGCTAGGTTTTTTGCTGGATCACTAGGAGGTGATGTGTGGTGTACTATACAACAGTTGCTTGAAACTGAAGAGGATGATCTGATCAAGCCTAAGAAACAATATTACTTTGAAGATCTATTGTCTGTAGTGCCTGTTATCAACTTAACAGATGAAGCTAACATGTTAGTTGATGATGCATTGACAGAATTAGAAGCCAGTGACTATAGAGAATGGGTAAGACATAAATGAAGATTATTTTTTGATCAGCTCATTTTATTGAATACCAGCTCGAGTGACAGCTGTCTGTTGCGCTTCGAGAGAAACGAGCTTAGAAAAAACAAATTTCAATCTGAGAATAATCGTTCAAAATATCTGCAGTCAGTATTTTGGAAGGTATGTGAGATTTTCCAGAGTTCTTCATATAAGATAGTTTCCAAAACATATACTACAATAACATTAATTTAATTGTGCAATGGATTTTAACAAACTTGTACATAAAGTGTACAATAAATAAATGCAATAATGACAAGATGTTCCACAATGGCGGATTTAGGATTTAGACTAGGGGGGGCTGGTATTTTTTCAACCTTAGTGGAACTTTAGAATATATAATAGAATTTATCCTATTATTGCTCCTTAAATCCATTGTGCTCTATCTGGTCAATGCCAGCTTATTATATTTTATTATATGAGAACAAAATAAATTCGTGGCATTTATAATGAACTAGTGTAATAATATTAAAGATTAAAACATAAAAAACTTCATTGATCTATTAAACGACATAAAAAATAATATAAAACGTTCTGACGGACCCTGATGCATATCCCAGTCCATTCCACACAAAACAAAAGTTCACATTATCGCATGGACGCTAGACGAGACAAAGAAGGATGGCTATAGGCCATCTATAGATCGTGTCTTGAGATCGCCTCCAGATAAGTTATTATATCAGCAGGTGATAAAAATATCAGTAAGTATAGTCAATTATTTTTTGAAATTCAATATAGATACAGATATTCTTCAGACTTTGTAAAAAACTATATCTGTTAGATCGTAATTATTTTGATAATGTATGTTTGTACGAGACAAGAACAGGAATACAGGGCTGTACATATTCACGTGAGGTGCAGAAGCTCTGTAATTTAAACGAACTCACTGTAGCAACATAAATAGACACATGCGCGGGAAGAGGTGCAGGTCGTGTGGTATTGACTTTGAGCATCGATGGACGCATTTTCTGGACAGGCCACAGGCGCCCCGCTAAACAAATCTCATAAATGTCTATTTCCAATTTAGTCGTTCATCTAACATAGTGCTTCACTGCAACACCAACGAACAAAATCATAGTCAAGCTTTACACACTTTTCAGTTTACTATTGAGCAACAAACAGAACATAAATCACTTTTTAAGTGCAATCTGTAGGTATAGCTAATATATTACTCGGACTTAAATTTTTCAGAAGTCACAATACTCGTGTATACGTATAAATCGTAAGAATTGTGCTGTAAACGTAAGTGATGTCAAAGAGGGACAGCGTTTGGAATAACAAAGGATATTAAAAGTCGCAATGCTCAGTTCCTATAGTTATAACTTATAGTTAGTATGCCTCTATCGTCATCATGTGTCAGAAAGTAACACAATGGAGTTAGATTACAAAAGCAAGTATCATAGAGGGGGCGCGCGCCCCCCTTAAATCCGCCACTGATGTTCCAGTTAAAATGACGACTAGTATGATGAAAAAGAAATGAGTGAGATGGAACATTATTCTAAACAGTTTTTTCAATATTCACACACTGATAATGGCATTTTTGAAAAATCCTAGGGATTTCTATATTTTTACTCAGTGAGTTTCCACTTTTTCTATGACAGAGACAGCTAAAAATGCTGTCCAAACTTCGAACATACTTCGCTACAAATCTGCCACTTAACAATCTGTAGTGTGAGGCTGCTTGGGCATCCCCTGTTTTTTCGAATAGGACCCTAAGGTTTGCCTTCGACCACAAATGTGAGGAAGATAGCCGTTTCTTTCTCGCATTTGCAATGTTTTTATCCATATCCAAAATAAAAATAAATTACTATTTTTCGGATTAATTAGCGGACAATACAGGACATTAAAAGTTCTCTTTCAGTGCACGAATACGCTTTTTCAACGCACGAGTAAAAAATGCAAGGACAAAAACTGTTTTATTTTAATTTTTAGAATGAAGAACCGCTGGACTGCCAACGTTTATTCACCATCATTGGAAGTGCTTACTATCACTCAGGATACTTGGTGACGTCACATTTCATTGAAGGCGATTTGATAGACGTGAATACATATTGTAAACTTCACGGATATTTTCACTTATCGAAGTCTGAACCTGTAAAGTCACTAGTTCTGTGGAGGGAAGTGTTTCCAGTGTCATGCAGGAAGACTGATGATAAAACAATCAAATGTCCTGAGGGGAAGAGGTACTTGCTTATTGTGGGGAGTGGTAAGGTACAATCACGCACTTATACATTTTTTATACCTTCTCTTACCAATATAATCCACCGCTAATCTTTCGAGACAGGCTTGCTGGCCATGGCTGAACATGGTAAGCATTGACGTTGAATGACCTAATGATGTGCCATGCTGGAGACAGTTACTACCAAACTGTCATCCGAGATAATATGCATTTGTGTGTCGCACTTAATTTCGTGATGCGTGTTTGGGATCAACAGAATAAACAGGGCAGTTACGTTCCTCTTTAAAACACAATGGTCAAACTCAAGTGGATGTGGAAGAATGTTTTTTTTCATACCTGAACCACCATAAAGGCCTAAGGCTTGAACAACTATGGGTACCGTGTGACTATAGTGGGATACAGGGTAAAGACGCCACACGAACTCTATCGAAGGAACATGCATGCAACATGCACACATGCTGGCCCTGCCTTAGAGATTCGCCGGGTGGTACCTACATCCGTAGCCAAGAGAAAAATTCTCTTGAGGCCGGATTCGAACTCGCGCAGCATACGGCGTCTGATTAGGAGACCCATAACGTCTACCACTACGCCACCGCAGCGTCTGCTGGGTTTCGGGAGTCCAGTGATACATGCCACAGGAACGAGTTACAAAGCTCTAGTGCTAGTTACTGGAGAGATTGAGGGAGCTATCCTTAAGAACAAAACAAAATCCCGTGTTATATGATGTTATGGATAGCCAGGGGACACTATCATCGATCGTGGCAGCTGCTAGGAAAAAGCTAGGCTATTTCTTTAGGTCTTTTCGCTCTTTTTTCTCCACATAACCTCCTCACTTTGTACAAAACCCAGATCAGACCTAGCCTCAAGTACATGTTTGGGGTTATACTACCCCGACTACATTATTCACGCCCGATGCTGTTTAGAGGAGGGCTGTCCTTGTGATCGATGGCACTTCTCTAACGAAAAGTCTCGTATCTATAGGATGTCGGCGACCTGGGGGACTTTTATTTTTATGACTCTTGTCATCATTTGTCACTATGATGTTACTTTTGATATGTTATTTGACTTGAAGACGGGTGCTAGTAAAATGAGGTCAATGACAAAAAAAAATAGGGCACGATCTTAGCTTCGCGAGATTTTGTCGAATGAAAAATGTCCCTTACCAGATTCAAGAAAGCACTTTATGAGTTCCTTGCCACATTTTAGCTATCTCGGAAGCGACTTTGACCGTTCGATATTCGAGCATACCCTGGCTCTCTTCCACCGGTCTTTTCTCGCCAGAGATCTCCTCCATGATACCTCCTCGCCATGAGCTGGCCATGCAGACCCGCCTGACTTTATCTTCCCGTCAAAACTGTACCATGTACGGAGGATAACTTCCCTAATATCACACTGCAAGCCCGTCCTTAACAGAGCTGCTATCCACTCTTACACACTCACTTGAACTGGGTGATAGAGGACCTCTTAAACACTCACTTGAACTGGGTGATAGAGGACCCTGTTTTCATATACTTTTTAGATATATTCCAATAAATTTAACACAGACTATCGACATTGTGAGTTGTATCTTCAGGCATTGCTATGTTTTATATCGAAGATCAAAAAGGGTACATCCGAATCGCGGGACTATGACATGGAAGTTGTCATACTGACAGTGACAAGCATATAAGTGTTGATTGCTTATACATTTTTGAGATAATGTTCTAGGTGATGAGACAAAACTCAAAAACGTATGTCAGTGAACTGACAAAAACAAATGTCGGCACATAGAGGCAGATTGCATATAATAATAAACGGCTTTTATTGGGGCGAAGTTTAGCTTGTAGCTATTCTGCCACTCAACCCTTGAAAGACAAAGAAATAAAATAACGACATGTCAACATAAACAAATCACACGTAAAAGTAACAGACCTATGTATATAAAATTGTAGTCACACTAGATAATGAAAATTTAATTATACAAGGTGGACCAGAAAGACGGATTTCAAATCCGCATTGATGGTGACAGGCATGCGAGAGCGGGACACGGTTAGTGGGGATAAGTAGCTTGGTGCTCGAAAATTTAGACGCCATGGTGCGTTTCACCGATGAGCAGCGTGCGTTCTGAGTTAAGGCTTGTTATATATAAAATGGAGATTCGTGCACTATTGCGCGGCATCTGTTTCGCTCTGAGCTTAGTTTACATGATCTAAATCAATGTCCTAGTGAAAATGTGATCAGGTCGTGTGTCAGAAAGTTCGAGTCTTCCGGTTCGACACTGAATCATAAACTTGCTAGGCGTCCAAAGTCAATACGAACAGAGGAAACTGTAAGCGAAGTTGCAACGCCCGTACGGTCAATCGATCCACAGTTAACATCCAGAAAAAGATCAACTGAGCTCGCCATATCAAGAACATCTGTAAGGCGTATTTTCGTGAAAGACCTTAAATTGCACCCATATAAACTTCAACTAGGAATTGAATCCGCAGGTCCACCATCTGCGCTGTGCGATTGCCTAAACAATGTTAGAGCGCTTTCGAAGATTGAACAATATTTTCGTAGATTCGTCAACAAACAAGATTACCGGTATAGGGCCCCAGAAAATTCCAAATTAAAACACCAACGACATTTGCATTCGCGTTACGTTTGTTACAGTTTGGGCGGCTATGCCGGCTGAAGGAATCATCGGATCCTATTTCTTCGAAAACGTGTACGGCCAGACTGTAACCTGTGATACCTCAAGAGCCGCGCTTATGACAATAAACCGACGACAATTGCCTATCTGAAGCACAACATTTCCGAGATGACCGCTATCCCACGAGCGATGTGCCAGCGACTTTTCACGAATTTGAAGTCGAGATTCGAGGAGTGCGTACGTCTCGATGGCTCACATCTCAATGATGTTATTTTTAAAAACTAAAATTCTCATGTTCACCGAAAAGGAAAGATTTTACGAAGTGGGTAACCGCGTTGTATGTGAATCACTTACGAAAGAATGAGGTTTTGGGTCTCTCAGTAAACCGTACGTCTCTTGAGTGAAAGGAATTTCGATGGATCAGCTTGTTGTCTAGAAACGAGGGAATCGAAGTAAACAAGAGATTGTGAAATTGATCTGTGTAACTCATACAGCTCTCTCACCTTCAACCATCTCAAGTCTCTAAAAAACCGCTTACTATATATATATATATATATATTGTCATATTTTCTCAAATTGTTTATCAGTCTGCAACATGAATTTTGAATTTTTTTGTAAACGTGAAAGATATATTGTGTCTAAAAATGGAATTTAAACAATATCACAGTAAGTAATTTTGGGCATAAGATCGGAAAGCAGTTTTTAGTAATTTTGTTTCCATGAGGTGTGAACTAGAGACTCATCAAAAAAAATTCCCAAGTTTTTTACTACTTATAGCTAATTTTGCAATTTTGTTTGAATTGCCATTTTTACTCATGTGAAAATGTTCATACAACACACGCAATTTTTTGCAATTTGTCTTTCTTTCCGTACGCTCAATGATCCTTGATGAAGATATCAAATTTTGAATTCAAATCGGGAAACTATGAAGGATTCAATGAGGAACTAGCAGCAAATGAGAGGGCCATTTTTTTAGTTAGAATCAATTACGCATCGTGCCTGCGCATCCTGCAACGTGACGTCTGTTCAACCTCAGACACTTTTTACAGTTTTTTTTCTACGCCGCCATTAATTTTACCTCTGTAGCAGTGTTGGTTGCTTGGTTATACTGCTTTGTCGCCATGTCATTCAGAGCGCTGCCGATAGTGACGTGCGTGTTGAATCTGGTTTTTAAACGCAAAAAAGTGTGTCACGCTTTAACGGCCAGGCAGCGTTATTTTATGCCGCGATACAAAAGCTGATCCTACGATTTGACAAATGTTTATGGTGGCTATGTTAAAAAATGATCAAATTTCAGTTTGTGATACAATTTACGTTCATAAATAAATTTTATCTCACTCCATCTCAAAACATGTTCTTACTTGAGAAATGACCCTCGTAAAATACACATCCATGGTGTATACTAGGTCGACTTAACATGAACCGTTGTGAAAAGGAGACTCCCATATCTTGTCAAACTATTATATACCCAAACTTTTGATACTAGAGCTAATCCGAATTATTCATGTCTATGCTTTTCTGTGAAAGAAGCTACCACATTTTTCATTTTAGATTTTTTCAGGATTTATTGACCGTCATAATGGAGGCGGGAGGTTGTACAGAACCAGCAGAGAACAACATGGGACCAGATGCGTTTTACGTTGAAGAAGTTCAAGCAACTCTTGCACATATCCAAGAGGTTGGAATCAGTGAATTGGCCAACCGAATTTTATCCACAGATTCGAATGAGCAGATAGCTTTACCTGTACCAAATGTTAGTAAGAAAAAGGGCGAATTTATCAACATCAATTTTTCTAAAGCTACTAGTAGTGCTAAGGTAATATATGTTTGTGTACCAATGGTATACATTGTCAAATGTCAACTACTCGTATAGTGATTTTGAATCCATTTTTATTAATGATTTTAATAATTTTGTGAAACAAAATGAAAGTAAATAACTAAATTCTTAAAATAAAAGATTATTCCGCTTGTTACAGCCTTGTAGGTGATAACTTCCTGGAACAGAGAATGTGAAAAATGCATCATTATTTCGATTCCTTGAACGTTTATATGATGACTTTTGGTCTAGAAATAATGTCCATAGAAATCGAGGCTTTTTGGACCTAACAACCGTTTTTTACAGCTATAAGAATTTTTATATTCTAGCAACTGTACCAGCTAAATTTTGTTTTTCTAGGATCTGATAAGCTCTCCTAAAAAGAACGAAGTTACGTCGATACTGAAACGGAGGAGTTCCGATCAGAACTTTATTAATCATCAGGGAAGTTCTTCAAATGTTTCAGTCGCTGACGAGTATTATGACAGGCAGTCTGAAGGCTCAGAGTTGAGTCAAGGGGGTTACAGTGAGAAAAGCGAAATTAGCGATGACTCAAGTAAAAACTTTAGAAGGGTACAGTATGACGATGACTCCGATACTGATGGTGACCATGGTGTAAGTTTCACAAAAAAAAAAACGAAAGCTAATGGCTCCCATCCAGAACTGGCGATTTAGTGACATTTTATGCGAACGCGTTAACCCTTTGCAGCCTACTACTGTTCTGAGATGACCACCATCAATTCATAGTCAATTCACTTGGTCCCCGATGGAATTCAAAAATAACTGAACTGGTAGGACCAGCAATCATAGTCACGCGCACCTTGTGGAAACGTTCAACCAGCGATGTTGGGCTTGTTATCAAACACAGCAAATGTAGTTTTGCTGAACTGCATCATATGACGTCTGGACGTTTTAATTGCTTACTCATTTGAAGCTAATAATGCTATCATAATTCATTTTTATCTCGATGTAATATACACATTTGAAAACTTCCCACCACGGATATATCGAAAACCACTGATTGAAAGAAAAAACGCCGAGACACGTCAAAATGTTCATCAAGGGGGACAACTTTTTAACCAAAAACTACTTCAACCCCTTTCACCCTCTGCCCACAGGGTCATCCCCTTAAAAAGTTTAAATGACAAGGGGTATCGAGAAACGAGCTTGTTTGAAAGATTGATTCGTTTTCAAGAAAATTAGAAAAATCTTTATTCAACTCAATTTGTTCAGATAGAAAACAAAAAACTCGAAAATATAACTTTTTATTTCAATAATTGTTCAAAATGTTGCCCGTTATTGCCCAAACAATGATATAGGCGATGTTCAAATTTCTGAAGGACATTCTCAAAAACATGTGCATATCGCGGCAGCTTTCGATGACGCGTTGACGAAGTTCATCCAAACTTTCAGGTTGGGGAGTAAACACATAGATTTAAAATGGCCTCATAAAAAAAGTCTAATGGCGTCAAATCAGGGGATCTAGTAGACCTTTCTATAGGCCCTCTTCGCCCTGTCCATTTATCTGAAAACTCGTCGTTCAGCCATTGCCGAACCGCAAGAACATAGTGAGGAGGAGCGCCGTCTTGCTGGGAATATATTTTTATCCCATCAAGTATAGGATTTCTATCCTCTTCGATTTGGTTTTCAATGGTTTCAGTGATAAGTGGATGGATGGAAATTTCCATTAATAAATAATGGCCCAATCACTTTGTTTCCTAAAATGCCTGCCCATACATTATTTTTTGGGGGTACTGGGTATGCCCTTGAAAAGCATGAAGATTTTCATTGCCCCAATACCTACAGTTATGCTTATTAACAAATCTGTTTAGATAAAATGTGCATTCATCACTTAAGCAGATATTCTCTACATGAATGGAATTACCATTAATCGCTGCAGTCATTTGTTCACAAAACTCAACTCGCCTATCAAAATCATCTTCGGTTAACTCTTGCAATATTTTCATTTTGAATGGATGCAATTTATGGAGTTTAGTAACTGTGTGTACAGAGCTTAATGAAATACCCAGTCACAGCAACAATTTTGCGTAAGTATTAGGATTTATACCAAAATGACCCAAAACTTCAATTTGAGCTGCTTCATCCAAAACTCTCCGATGATCACGTTTTTTATTTGCATCTGATCCAGTTTAAGTAAATTTAATTCAATATTGTCTACTCCATCAGTTGCAATAACTGCAATCGCACATACATAGGTCAAACTTCAAGATTCCTTAAAGGTAGAATAACCTCACATAAAAGTGATGCCCGACTGCATCCAAAAAGGTGTGCTCTAGCGTCACACGTCAACTCCACTGGGCATCAAATGAGATATGATGATATCAAGGTGCTGGACAGAGAAAATTATCTATCAAAACGCCTGTTTTTGGAAATGTCACATATCTTCATGACAGACAATTGCATGAAAAAAAAAGCTGATGTCAGTCAACTTAGCGTCGTCTATGCATATTTGCTGAACTGCGAAAAATTGGAAAAGCAACATATCTCCCCCAACATCGACCTCTCCCAATAATCGCTCAATCTACATAATACAAATTCTTCACTATCTTAATAAAATCAAAATAAAAATTGCTCTAAGTCTTTTGTCCTCAAGTGTGAATATTCCCTACAGATTTCATAGTTGTTTGGTAGGATAACATCCAAATCACACTCATTCCAAAGCAACATCTATCAAGTTTTGAAAATAACTTTGTACTTCATCGGTCAATAATAGCTCAACCTCTTGCACTATATCACAAAACTACCTACATAGTAGGCAATACACCTTCCAATAACTTCAATGTCACACTTCATACGCCACTGTAGAATGTCAGTCGGCCGGCACATGTTGGATAATGTGGAGGTTATAAGTGGGAAAAAAAGATAAAATCTCGAAGGAATTTTCAATAGTTGATAGTTTTAAAATTTTCAAATTTCTTCCAAAATCAATCAACGTTTAAGGGAAAAAGCTTTTCAAAAATAAAAAACAGCTATGATTTGCCATTTAATAATAAAATAATTCCGTCCTAATCATCGAACCTCATCGGTCCAGTTTTTTATTCGTAGACTATGTGTTCCCTTCACTGTTGTTTAAAAGCAATTTCAGCAATAATGTTGCCGAGTTAGTAAGTAACTATTTTTCATCCCAATGGTTAATTGTTCGTCTGATGAAGACCATTTTATACTACAATGTGTAGGTTGGCTCTTGTTAGGGACTTCAGTGTATCATTTTTTCCCTCCACCTTCGTTTCCTCAGGTTACACCCATATCCGGATGTATGGGCATGAGTATATCTACTTTTGGGGATGCATATGTGCATTCATTTCGAGCCTGATGAGCCAACAAGCATAAATACGTATTTATTATATATATTATTTATACGGATTTTGCCCATTATTTTCCTATTTATATATGTATATAATGTATAATGTAAATCATTATAATCGTACTTTAATTACCCCACTGATTCTAGGAGACAATCACAATACCTTATCACTTTCACTAAAGAATTATTTATTAACAATTATTTTCTCATCCATTGTTAATCACCATAATCGGATGAAACGTTTTAATCGTCAGGTGTTTAAAACTTAATTTAGATAATTTCTTGAATTTAAGAGGATTTGGGATCCAAACAAACACAGTTTTCTGTTACAGAGCTGCCTTTGTTTCTAAATAATTTATTTCCTTCTTCACAAATGAAAACATACACATAAATGACCAATTTAAAACAATAAAAACGTTATAAAAGATACGCCTTTTATTTGAAATGTATAAAATGGACTGTTAAAACACATGTTCTCATTTCTTTAAAAGCAAAGTCATTCCCATCAACATACACAGTATATTCAAACTCATAAAAAACAACGAAAACAAAGATAAACTGATTCGTGATTTGGATAAATATTAAAACGAATAAAAAGTGTTTTTTATTAACTTAAGAAAAAAAAGGAAATACAAGAAAGTCATATAAATAAAGGCCATTAGTAGACTCTCAGGCAGCAGCGGTGGCTTAGCGGTAGACGTTATGGGTCTATTAATCATCTGCCGTGCGCTGCGCGTGTTAGATCCCGTCCCAAGAGAGTTTGTTTCTTGGCTACGGATGTTGTGATTGCCCGTAGGTGGTAGACGGACTCGACTGTCGAACGTGAAGGTACCACCCGGAGGATCTCTAAGACGGGGCCAGATTGTGGTCACGTTGCATGCATACGTGTTACCTCGCTCGAGTCCGTTATAATATCCTTCATTTAAAGTACTGTTCTCCTAGACGCTTGAATTTATTGAAACTTTATTTCAGGTAAAGGCCGGAGGCTTATTGTAACACTTATTGGTAGCGATAAAGGGTTTCTGGATAGCGGATTACTGACATTTGAGTCCAAAAAGACTTTAGATTATCACGAAGATACAGATGCAAATATATTTGAAGCATGGTTTAAAATCATTTTGCAGGGCATTCCTTCTGGTTCAGTCACCGTAAGGGAGCTCGTATCACAGTCGCCTACTAGAAAAGTTCCCAACTAGTTCATGGCGAAAAAGTGACATAATAAACCGGCCCAAGTCAAAAAAACACTTGAGGAACAAATGCTTAAACTTGAACTCTTTAATAACGCTAGGCAAAATAAACCCACGTCAATATTCTACGCTATAGATGAGATGGCTCGCCAGCATGGTAGTATTGTTCATCGTTTACCGCCTTATCATTGTGAACTGAATCCAATTGAGTTAATATGGGCGCAAGTCAAAGACGAAATAGCAAGGAACAATACAACCTGCAACAAGTTAGCTGATGTTAAGTTATTGTCACAAAATTCCGTCAACAACGTATCCAGCGAGAACTTTCAAAAATGTAACAACACGTCACAAAGAGAAACAGGGAATGAGGGATCTGGATACTCGCATAAACATTATTGTTGAACCAGTTGTTGTTGAGTTAAATAGCGACGACTTTGATTCGTCTACTGATGACTCCGATGTTGAATAAGTTTTTTAGATTCTAATATAATTTAGTTTTTGTGTTTTTGACAAATCATAATAATTTTATTGTGTGACACTAAAGTCTTTTTTAGTTTAGGTGTTCGATTATATATTTATGTATATTATTATATATCCATTTAACCCAACCCCAGTTAAACAGAAATAATTTGTGTCAATCAAACTGGTTCGGCAAATTGTAAAGTAAAGTTGCTCCCTCCTGCTGGAACCACATGTTTTGCAGGTTAAATTGTTGTATTTGAGGAGCCAGAAAGTTTTGCACCATATCACGGTAGCGCTCGCCAGTGCATAATGACGTGCGATGAATACCCAGTTCTTGAGAACGATGTCTGGTAGACGTCACAGGGCGCTCCACTACACTTTCACGAACTCTCTTGATATTTTCCGGGATACGAACAGTTCGAACACGGCCCGATCTTGGCAAGTTTTTAACTTCACCTGTTTCTTCAAATTTCCGCACCAACTAACGAATGGTGTTGACTCTGGGCACACTATTTCGACCGAAACCTTGTCGTAGCTTCCGAATCGTTGCAACAATCGACTTATTATTTAAGTAAAACGATTTAACAATAAGGACGCGTTGTGGGATTGTGTAGCGCTACATGATGAATTGGACTCTTGTGCCTTAAACAACTACTACGGCTCCACCTACTGAAATGCGTGTATCGAAAATGGCGCGGAATTTAAATCAGTCAGTTATATGATGGCCACCCTGTATACTGACACGTTTTATGAAAATTAGTTCGCACGAACATGGAACAATGCCCCTCCACCCCTAAGCCCACCGGGGCTGCCCTACATAGCAGCGATAAGCCACTGCCAAGAATTTCGTACTCGGACTGTAGTATTAATGCGATGTATCTATAATAAACATTTTCATAATAAAAAGGTAAATTTGGCCGCAAAGGGTTAACAATCAAACAATCTACATTGTTCTAACCAAGTAAGATTGACGTACACAGCTAAGTGAGGCTATTTTGACAATTCATTAGTTTAACGGAAAATGACGGTTGCATACTGTCTGAAAATCATTGCTAAAACATGCCTATTGGAAAAAAATGGTTCTACAATACTATTGGAAAATAGCATTTCGCATTTTCGATTTTGATCATGTATGTTGAGGTTTATCTAGAAAAAAATCCATGTCTAATCGAAGCATATATATATACAAACTCATTATTTTCAGCTTTTTCAATAACAGCTTTTTCAGGATGACAGTCAGCTGGATTCCAGTTTTGATGTTCCCGATATAAGACAATCTCTTGACAGTGAAGAATATAGGCTGGTACAATTAACTGCAGGTCAAGAGAATGTGTTGATCCATTTCAGTGAATTGAATATAACAAGGGGTGTTCTGTTGTACCCCCTGGAACCACGTATTACATCGCAAACGTACGAAGTTATAGTACCCAATTTTAAAAGATGTAGTTTAGAGATACATAGGATGTTCCAAAATACTTTAAGATTCACGGTGAGAATACTTTCTGTCTTCAAAGCCACGTTTTTGTCTACTGCTAACAATTGATACCTTTGGGAAATCCGGCAAAATTAACTTATAGTGCGCGTATTTTGTCAAGCTTCCTTATTATTATTATTTATAATAGTTTGCAAATAATAGTTTTTTAGTTCAATACTCTTGAAGCTTGTTAACTGTTTTATTCTAATTTTCTTTGAATACTTCATCTGATAGTAAGGGCGCATGCACATAGAAAGCTGGCTACCGGCGCCGATCTACCAGCGCTTATCGGCGCTGGTCTGTTCCGGCAACCTCTACATAAAGCAAGCGGGTTTAAGCAGAAGCTCGCTGGCGTCTCTCTGTCTATGCTTTGTGTCTCTCTGAGCAGCGAGCAAAATGTCGAGCTCCTCAGATGAAGATATATTTCTATTAGAAAATGTGTTTCTCAAAATGCGCAAACAAAGTGTACACCCCATAAATAGAAAAAGAAAAATTTACGGAGAATATCATCATTTATTTCAAGACATTAAAGCAGACAAACAAAGATTTTATAGATATACAAGAATGACTCCAGAAACATTTTACTACATTTTGGATAAAGTAGAACATCGATTGATAAAAAACTGGTGTAATTGGCATCAACAACCTATTCTCCCAGAAGAAAGACTTGTTGTTACCATTCGGTACGTATCAAACATTTTTAATTTAATTATCAGGGTATTCTGATAGGCCCTCAGCGAAAGACTGTAAATATGTGCTTATTGGCGCATGGAATGCTTTGATACAGATTGAGTTGCGTGTGATTCTGGTGTGTGAGGTGTGATTGGCGGTGAGTAGAATGATTGTGCTTCCGGTTGAGTTGCTTGTAATTCTGGTGTATGGCGTGGGATTGGTGTTGAGTGGAATGGCTGTGCTGCTGATTGGGTTGTGTATGGTTCTGGTGTCTGACGTGTAGACTGAATTGCATGTGGTTCCGTAGAGCAGCTAGAGAGAGTTGAAGGTGAGAGTCGCGGGAACTGGGACTGGTATGCATAAATGTCAACTGTTCTTTGAATATCATTTCTAAACGAAAGCAACCGCTCTTGTGGAATTTTACGAATATGAGGCAAAAGACTTTTCAGAAACAGTAGATGTTCATCGTCTTCAAGTTTTCTCGCTTTTCGTTCCAGGTATTCCAACTTTTTTCTTTCAATATCTAGCATAATTTGATTGAATGGGTTAGTTGTTTTTGTTTTGTTACGTGGAACTGAATTGGTGTCATTACTGTTTTCTTCTAGTGCATGATGTGTACTCGTATCATTGTCTTTACTGTCGTCGGAATTATTAGTCTGTTCTACAGATCTGCTAGATGAAGCACGTTTCAACGATTTGGTTAAATTTCCTGAAGAATTTCTTGCTTTGACAATATCTTTCAGGAACATTAGGGAATAATAATATGGCCATTTCGGCTCATACGAAGTCGAAGCTTCATCTCCAGATCGAGGAGCAGGAACTTTCCCATATTCAGTCGCGAACTGATCCCTTAAATATTTCCATTTCTTCCTCAGTTTGTTTTCTGGAAAAAAACAGTCGTATTATTTCTTACAGGTATCTGGCAACAGGGGCAACATTTGCACATTTGGCTTCTGAATTTAGAATGGGTCTTTCCACAATAAAGGATATTATAGAAGAAACAACGAATGTATTGTGGGATGAATTACATCCAGTACACATGCCCATACCTACAAAGGAGGCTTTTCGTGCAATAGCATATGAAATGTTTTAGGGGCAATCGACGGAAAGCATGTGCGCATACTCTGTCCAGATGGATCAGGGTCCATGTTTTACAATTACAAAAAATATTTTTCTGTCGTGTTACAAGCAGTCGCAGATGCAAACTATAAATTTATAACAATTGATATCGGCGGGTTTGGTAAACAAAGCGACGGTGGAACATTCAAGGCTTCAGAACTATACCAACGTTTAAGTACTGGGCAGATGGATATTCCAGAAGCATAATATTTACCAGGAACAAATGTGAAAACACCATATGTTTTTCTAGGTGATGAAGCGTATCCTCTGCTGAGATACCTACTAAAACCTTTCGGAGGCAGAAATTTGCCTTCAGAACAACGCAACTTTAATAAACGTCTATCAAGAGCTAGAAAAACTATAGAGTGTGCGTTTGGTATAGTAAATTCGAAATGGCGATTGCTTTCCAAATGTATTGAAACCAATATTGATGTAGCTGACCAAATCGTTAAGTGTATATGTGTTTTACATAACACTATCATTGATAAAGAAGGTATCAACCGTAACTTAACTCCTGTTCATTTAGTACGAAGAAGGTGGAATAACTCAGGGCACGACTCAAATGAGGCAATGGATATCAGAAATATTTACGTCAATTATTTTTTACATAACTCACTAGCTTACAATAATTAAGTGTTTATTGTTAATAAATTCAATAAGTAAATAAACTCACCGTCTACATCCATCTCGGCACTTATTTCCCTCCAGCATTTATCCACCACGTATCTGTTTGAATGCCTTTTGTCTCTTTTATCCCAAACAGTTGGTTTACTAAAAACTAACGAAATCAGTATATCAATAGCCATATTATTAAACGCGGTGTTGTTCCCTTGAAAATTAAGCCGCAAATGGCAGTTTACCAGCGCTTATCGGCGCAGGTCGGAACCGGTCAAAACTTGTCAGCGCCGTTCGGCGCTTATCGGCGCTGTTTCGACACAAAGTATAGAAACTGCCTGCGCCGGCTGCCTGCGCGCACCGGTTCCGATAAGCGCTGCTAGATCGGCGCCGGTAACCAGCTTTCTATGTGCATACGCCCTAAGAATAGTCTAATCATATTGGACAAAACTATCCCTGATTTGCGAAATAATTGTAAAGTCGGGTTTTATTGATGCAAGTTGTTCAACGGGGTATTTAAAACATCGACACATAAAATGGGTACACATAGCAACAAAGAATGAGAAAACCCGTTTTTTGGGATTCAGGTTTTGGCTCTTGTTGCTAATGCGACGATAATTTCAGGCAGCCACTTGAAATTCTTCAAATCCGTATGCTTCATACTTCTTAATAACCACAACAAAATCGGAGTCGATTGGTCAAGTAGTTTTTGAGAGTTTCTAATTGTTTATCCCAAAATGCCTGTCTTCCGTCAATCACTACCAGTTTATTGAGCAATATACAGGGTTCGTTCAAAGGGCATTTCATAACAAAATACACGAATTTACCTTGCCGATGTGAATCAAACCATTCCGAAAGATAAATGTTATTTTTATGTAAAAAACGAAGGGCTACTTTTTTAACTGAACATATTCGCTACGATATTCGAAAAACATACGGTATTTTTCACATTTTAAAACAAAGCGGATGTGTCTATCTCCTTTTGTTACGAATAAAACAATTTTTTTCAAGATTTCTTCATCCTCTTGTGTATACATATTTAGAGCTGAAATTTTTACATGGTTACAGACGAGCTTCAAAGTTTATATAAAAAAAATATTCCATACTGAAATGCGCTGAACTGTAGTATGTAGCATGTGCTAAATGGCTGCATTACTGTTGACTGCATGACTTTGTCAAATAAGTAGGTCACGTAATCCACTTTCTTTACGAAGAAATATAATTCCCTAAACTTTTTTTTCTACAAGTATTAAAATAGTATACGTCTGTTTTCGGAATCTCGTTCGATTAAAAAGACTGCGAGACTCGAGAAAACGAAAAAAATAGTAGACAAATATCAACCAATGGTAGCGAACTGACCGTCTTCAAAATTAGGCTAAATGCTCGTTATTAGTCCCTAATACATTATTTAAAGGTTCAGCATTGTATCTTGTATAGTTTTGAAGCGTAATTGTTTATATCAGATTTAAAATGTCTGCAACGTCCGCTTGACATTTGTCAGTGTCAAGTATAGTGATACAAGGAACCAGTAAATCAAGAGGCGTTGTAGCGTAATGGGAATGGTTGACGATTGCACAACCCCAGGACTAAGGTTCGAATCCACGAAGCTCCTTTTTTCTCTATTATCTTTTTTTCTTAATTTGGAGAAATAAATGCTTTTTCACATTATGCTACTTTTAGTGAGATCAGTTTTTCGCACGCCATAGACAATGTAAGCTTGCAAACAGGAAACTAGGGGTATACGCATGATAGTTTATATATATTTTTATATTACTTTGATAAAATTTCAGAAACATTATTTTGGATCGTAGCAGATAATTTTTGAAGATAAATATCTTGGAAGTGTAAATTATTAACCAAGAATAATGAAAGACATCGGAAATTTTGTTTGTGATAATATGTACCTCTTAGAGCCGCAGAGGATGCTTATAAAATTAAGTGAGCTAACAAATAGTTTTTGTATTAATTAAACTGTTGAGCGTAGATGCTCATTTCATCAACAGTGTAGAATTTTTTCTGCATAGTTTGTATTTTTGTATTATGGCAGCGTAACGCAAAGGTAATCTCCCTTTTAGGGAGTGATGGAAAAGAGGATACCCTAACACAACGTGAAAGTTATATATACAAAAAATCGGGAGTTAAGCAATTTCAGTTATTTCTCAAAGTATGACATAACCTCTTTTGCAACTAAAATTTGTATTGTTGTGCATAGAATGAAAGAAACTACATGAAAGATTCATTAACGTATTTATTGACCACAGCAACCATAATGCTGCTTATTTTTTTTCGTATTTTATCTGTACATTGTGTTACACCACTAACTTCAAGTAATTAACTTGTATTGCATTAAACAAGCTTTCAATAGCGAAAGGTGAATAGAGACATTGTACCGATAAGTCTCTCTCTCTCAGATAATATATAATAGAAGTACACATAATGTGAAAAAATATTTATTTCTCCAAATTTGGAAAAAAATAATACAGAAAAAGGAGCTTCGTGGATTCGAACTGCGGTTCTACAATCGTCAACCATTCCCATTACGCTACGACGCCTCTTGGTTTACTGGATCCTTGAACCACTATACTTGACACTGACAAATGTCAAGTGAACGTTGGAGCCATATCAAATCTGATATAAACAATTACACTATGTACTCTTCAAAACTATACAAGATACAATGCTGAATCTTTAAATACTGTATTATGGACTAATAACGAGCATTTTGCCTAATTTTGGAGACGGTCTGTTCGCTACAATCGATTGATTTCTCCACTGTTTTTTTGTTTTCCCGATCGCGGTCGTTTTAATCGAACGAGATTTCGAAAATAGACGTATACTATATTAATACTTTTAGAAAAAAAGTCTAGCGAATTATATTTATTCGTAAAGAAACTGGATTACGTGACAAAGGCATGCAGTCATCAATAATGCAGCCATTTAGCACATGCTACGTACTAACTAGTCTAAGACAGTTTGAAACATAATTGTCTTCAGTTTGCGTGCTTACTTTATAAACAGTTCAGCGTATTTCAGTATGGAATATTATTTTTTATAAACTTTAGGGCTCATCTGCGACCATGTAAAAATTTCAGCTCTAAATATGTATACACAAGAGGATGAAGAAATCTTGAAAAAAATTGTTTTATTCGTAACAAAAGGAGATAGAGACATCCGATTTGCTTTAAGATGTGTGTAATAACGTATGTTTTACGAATATCGTAGCGAATCTGTTCAGTTAGTCACAAATACGAAATGTTTGAATTTGTTCAGAAGAAAAAAACGTAACCCTTCGTTTTTCGCCAAAAAATAATAATTATCTTCCGGAATGGTTTGTGATTCACATCGGCAATTTAAATTCGTGTATTTTACTATAAAATGCCCTCTGAACGAATCCTGCAGATTGCACAGTAAACTAGTAGTGATGCCGGAAGACAGATGTTTTGGGATAAACAATTAGAAATTCTCAAAATCTACTTATTTAAAGATATGAAGCCTACGGATTCGAAGAATTTCAAGTAGCTGCATGAAATTATCGTCGCATTAGCAACAAGTGCTAAAACCTGCACTTTGCCTCGGTTTTCGGCCATAACTTTTTTACTATTAGTCGGATCTTTTTACGAGGGCCTCATCTTGTAGTCCTCATAAATACCTAAAAATCTTATTTGAAGAGTTTTTTCGTTCCTGCCAACACTTTCAATTCAATCCCAAAAAACACGTTTTCTCATTCTTTGTTGTTGAATAAAAAGTTTTCCCACAAAAATTGGTGTACCCATTTTATGCGTCGATGCTCTAAATACCCCAATGAACAACAACTTGCACCAATAAAACCCGACTTTACAATTATTTCAGGGAAATTTGCGAATATGATTAGACTAGAATGGTTATCTATAAAAACATAAACATTGCCTTAGATTAACATTTCCAGTTACTTGGCGACTTTGGCGTTTTCTAGTGAATACTAAAGATTTTTCTTCTAGAATACCCCTACTCAAGAAATTGCTAAATCAATGATGAACAAAAGCCTGGTAGGGATAAAAGAATATGGTATTCTTTTTGAATGTCCTTATTTGGATGCAAAGGATAAGAAAAACAAGATAAAATACTGGGTTATAGGGTAAGGTAGCAAGAACTTTCTATTCCTAAAAATTATACGAGCCCAAACAATTAAATATTCGGACACCTTTACATTTTTTAAGGTATCCAAATTAACTGCTGCTTTCTCAAATTGCATGGCAAAAATGTATAATGATAGATAAGTATAATAGCATCTATTTTCAATAACGGCACATCTGTTTTCAAATGTGTCACTTTAAAACAAACAGAATCACTGAAATATCTCGAAATATGATGACAACTAAATGTTCGGACATGTCAAGAAACATATTATTAGAGATAAGCAGAGACTAGCAGGCTTTGCAAAAACATATCGACAACATCGTTGGAAGTTGTAGGTATTTGGAAATTATATTTTCTTGTTGCTAAGTTACATTTATGCAAAAATGGTACGTGGTGTAGAAACTAATCAGAAAACGAGGCAAATTATTATTCAGCAGTTTCGGACATTATGAAAAAGTATAGGGAAACTGCAAGTACTGAAGTCCGCGATAAAATCCAAGTCCACCGAGGATTGTAACAAAGGGATCGAAGAGCTTTGGTCAAAATCCGCAAATCGGGTAGGCGAAACACATTAAGGGAAATTACCACTCAGGGGAACACAAAGTGTGGGATGCAGCTTTAAAATATATTCGTAAATCGATTCAAATTTTATATATTATTATTCCAAAGCAATGAACAAATGTTTTTCCTTAATTAGGCAATCGGCCCGCCATGCGTTTCTTGGCGAAGACAAAAATCTCAGAGTCTGCACCGATTAACCATCTCAACTTCCCAAACTACGAGGTGCACTCCAATCTGGCTTTTGTCCGCAGCAGTCTTTCCTACTACAGAGATGTTTCTTTGGAATCAGACCGGAAGAACATTCTGTGGCTTCGCCTCAACTCCAAAACATCACCCAAATTTATTTGCTGCCTTTATTCTCCCTCGGACCATAACTGGGATGACCTACTCGAATACCTCGCCGTCCAGATCGACTTCCTGAACATGAATCACCCCGCTTTAGAGGTAGTTCTTCTCGGTGATTGCAATGCCCATAATGAGCCTTGGTTGGGCTCAAACAAGACCGATGCAGCAGGTCGTGCAGTCGAAGCGTTCGCTCTTTCTCAAAGACTGACCCAGCTGGTGACGAGCCTTACTTTTTTTCCCCGCGTCTCGTCACACGCCAGTAGCCTGCTGGATCTCTTTCTGACCATGCATCATGTCCCTTACAGCACTGCTGTCCTTTTCCCGTGAGTAACTCAGACCAGGGTGTTGTGGAGGTTAGGTTTCGGTCAGAACCCGCTGTGGCAGCAGAAACTCGTACAGGCCGCAAAACTTGGCATTACGAACATGCCGACTGGGAGGGGCTCACAGACTTCTTCTCTAGCTTTCTTTCGAGAGACGTCTGTTTCACTGACGCGGATGCGTCGGCTGTCTGTTCTTCGATAACAGAAGTGATCCACGTCGGAATGGAGGAATACATCCTTCACACAGTGAAAGTGCCTAAACCAGGGTCCAACGGCTGGTTTAACAAATCGTGTGACACTGCTTGCCAGCAGATCAAGGCACACAGAACCTTCTTAGAAAACCCCACTGTAGAGAACAGACAAGCCGACGTCGAGTCCAGAAACAAATATAACGAAGCGGTTCGCTATGCCAAAAACCAGCACGATATAAAAGTTAGGCACAGGGTAATGTCGCAGCGCAATGGCAGTCCGTCTTTCTGGACGCTGGCCAAGCAGATTGAAAAGAACTTCTCACATAATAGCCTTCCACCTCTTATGTGTCCTGATGGAACTATTGTATTCGATTCAAAGGCCAAGGCGGGCGGAAGTGCTAGCCAAGATATTTGCTGCCAACTCCACCATGGACGTCCCCCCCCAATGCCCAAGTGCCGTCAATTCAAGGGGTTCCCTACACTATGCGGGAGGTAACATTCAGGCCTAAGACCGTAAGACGAGTGCTCTTGTCGCTCGACTTCAACAAAGCTTCTGGTCCGGACTTGATTCCTGCCATTGTACTGAAGAGGTGTGCAGCGGAGCTTGCTCCAGGTCTTTCGCGTCTCTTCCAGATATCTTATGAATCCGGCACCTTCCCAGAAAACTGGAAATTTGCTGATGTCCAACCCATCCCAAAAAAAAAAAGGCTCTGCTTTCTGTCATAAGTAAGATGATGGAGAGGTGCATAAATCGCGGGTTTCTGGACTACCTCGAACGTCACAGCTTGATTAGCGACAGGCAGTATGGTTTCCGGCACCAACGATCCACAGGGGACCTCCTAGCTTATGTCACGCAATTGTGGAGTAAACTCATCCAGTCTTATGGTGAGGCTCATGTCGTTGCTCTTGACATCACGAAAGCGTTCGATCAGCTGTGGCATGCTGCCCTCTTAAGCAAACTTCCATCCTATGGCCTCCCAGAAAAACTTTGCAGATGGGTGGCTGACTATCACTAGCCGCAAGATATCCGTCGTAATTGACGGGTTCTCCTCTTCATCCCACAACGTCAACGCGGGTGTTCCCAAGGGATCGGTCTTGGCTCCAACACTGTTTCTCTTACATATCAACGACCTCCTTTCCTGCACGATCAACCCAGTCCACAGCTTCGCGGATGATAGCACTCTACATGCAGGAATTCAGAGTGACAAGCCGATCTCTGCCGCTGAGCTGGAAAAAAGAAGACTAGCGACGATTTCCTCTCTGACAAGAGACCTGGAGGCTATCACTGCTTGGAGACGCAACAATCTTGTACAGTTCAATGCTTCCAAAACACAGTACTGTACTTTGACGAACAAAAAGCGTCCTAGCGCTCATCCAGTTTCGATGGACGGCCGAGTTCTGCCAAACAGCCATTCATTTCGGCTGGTCGGAGTCCAGATCACCGAGGACCTGATCTGGCACGAACACATCTCGTCAATAGCTGCAACTGCTGGAAAAAAGCTAGGATATTTGTTTAGGGCTAAGAAGTACTTTTCTCCGAATGACCTTCTCACTCTATACAAGGCCCGGATAAGGCCTAGCCTCGAGTATTGCTCACACGTTTGGGGTGCTGCCGCCCCGACTACATTATCCATGCTCGATGCTGTCCGGAGGAGGGCGGTCCGACTGATCGATGACTCTTCTCTAACAGACAGTCTCGGGACTCTTTCGCACCGGCGGGCCGTCGGGGATCTAGCTCTTTTCTATCGCTACACCAACGGGATTTGCTCCTCAGAGCTCTCTTTCATGATACCGCGGCGCGATGTGCCTGCCAGACAGACCCGCCTGACTTTGGCGTCCCATCCTAACCGTGTCGAGCTTCGTACATCCAGAACTGGCCGCTCCTTTGTCCCGAGGGTGTCGAGATTGTGGAACAATTTACAAGGGGAAGCTTTTCCCAGTTCTACTAACCTTAGGCAGTTCAAAAATCGTATTAACAAAATTTCTTTGGGATCATCATAGCAGCCGGGGTGTTCCGTCATTTCTGCCTGCGCGGCTGCTTCGATATAAAAAAAGGCTAAAGAAAAAACGCTTCTAACTGAAGTCCGAAAACAAAGACGCTTGGACGTACGAGCATTGGAGCAAGGTAATATAAACTGAAACCTTCCACAAAGCGTGTGTTAAACGTATGTTATAGTGAAATTTTCCAAAGGTATACCAAGAAATCCTTGAGAATACATTATTACCTACCATAGTAGACTTGTATCCTGACGGAGACTGTGTTTATCAGCAGGGCGGCGCATCATACCACACTGCTAAAAGCACAAAAAAATGCTTTGGGGACCATAACGTACATGTCCTCTCTTAGCCTGCTAGTAGCCCCGATTTAAATGTGATAGAGACGGTCTGGCATAAAATGAAACATTTGAAAAACCATCCTTAGAGAACAATTCCTGAACTGCGTGTGTTATTTCAAGAAATTTGGAATACATATACACAGGAAAACTGCCAAACATTAGTGATGACCATGCCGGCAAGAATTCAGGCGGTAATTAAAGCGAATGGCGACGTAACAAGGTTTTAGTTAAGTTAAATTTTGTAGTATCCGAATATTTAGTTGCCATATATTTTTGTAAAGTTTAGTTTGTTTTTTTTTTCATTAAAATTAATTATCAAGGAAAACACTGTATGCCACAACTTGTATACTACCAATAGAAGTTTTCGGTACAAGTTTACTATCTTGTTCAGTTATTTTATAGGGCAATTTGGACAAAATGTAAAGGTGTCCGAATATTTAGTTGTTTGGGCTCGTATTTATCCGTTTTTTTTTTTAGGAGACTGTTCAGTAATCATCATGCTAAGGAAATATACGTCTGTTATAGAGATGGAATCCCTCAAAATCTCATAGACATTGCATTCAAAATGGAAATGTCAGATATGTAGTAGGCATAAAGTTAGAAGAAACAAAATTAAGTTGCACACTTCGAGAATTTGACCCTTGACTTTCCCAGCATTGAAATTAAAATAATCTTTTGTTTTTCAAACGAAAGATAAAATTATGGCGTCTAGTAGGTTGACTCTGCACTTCCCACATAACACTGCCATCAGTTAAAAAGTTAATTAAGAACATGCATAACAACGGGATTAAATGGATCTATTCAGTCAAATAGTCATACAATTAGAACCATCAATTTGGCAACGCTGCGATGTAGAAATTTCTTCTCTGCCCTACGGACAATCCGACAACGATGGGATCGTTGAGTTGAGTAAACCTTGCCAATGGTAGCGGCCAGCACGTAACAGGCATACCGCACGTATACATAACTGCCGTGTCGTGCTGTTGTGGCGCGCCTCTCGGTTGATGTAACTGATGTTCGTCCTACTTGGGTTATTGTTAGTGTATTTTATTTCCGATCTTGCAAAGATTCAAAAAGAATAAAGGGTAGATTTGTCAACAATCTAAAATAATTATTTTGTATATATCGTGGCCATATCGTAGAATTGACCATTTCATGAAATGATCGAGCACTTCACGAAATGGCCAACCAAATTTGACCATATCCTTAACTCGTCAACGTTTAATGATTTGGTCATCCATGATTGATATCATAAAATAAGGTGTCCCTAGAATATTTAATAAAAACCCAGAATATATTACGTACTCGTTTATTGTTATTTAAGTTCGAAAACCAATTTGATTAAATTTAATAACTTTAGGAACATAAATGAAAATGATTATATATTTTTTGAACATATCAAATATCACAAATTTATTACCTCGCGTGGTCATCGTACTTAACGTATAACTTAAAAATGAAATAAAAACTACGATATGTTATACATACGCAAAATAATATAGTAGTTCAATAGACAATATTTTAGCTGGCACTCGATTTTGACTTCCAATAAATGAATGATAATATAAGTTCTGAACTCTACGGCTTTTTGACGTTTTGATCGGTACTTGCGTGACCCGCGTAGTGCTTGATAACTCGAGTAACGTTTTGTCGTAATGTCTTTTAATCTCACTTTTGTCATTTGGTAACGAATTATTAGAATTATCACTTCGAAAAACAACTTTAGTATTAACGACCTCCTTGTTGAAATGTAAACAAAACGCTGACAGCTGGGTAATTAACGTAAATAAATAATATTTAGTAAATATTTTACAATTTGATCAAACATGCTTCACGATTTCATGAAGTAGCTGCGCGTTTAGTTGATAATATCGTTTAACGATTTGTTGTCATTGATCTGGCCAATAGTTAATGATACATTTCATGAAATAGTCAATTTTACGACCTTTGAGGACTTTTGCTGGATCATTTGTAAAAAGGAAAATATGTTTAGATTTTGTATGGCCAAAAGTGCGAAATCGAACCCCGATCTACCGCATGAGACATAAGGACACTAACCACTAAACTACACTAACCTTCTACCAACGGATTGCCTATTTTGCACACAAACGCTGTACCGTGAAATGGGGTGAAATTGATCACTTACAAACGTTATATTGGAATATCTTTTTCAAATCAGATATAATTAGATACATTCAGAAAAGTTGATGAAGAATAACACCGTCCGAAACTATCCTCATTATTGCTCATTACCGGGGAGCTTATTTTGCACAAAAGTAAGCAAAAACTACACGATCACTCTGCTTGTTACTACTGAACAACGTATTGGTTCCATCGCGTTCGAGCAGTTGACATCCAACGCGCGAAATCCAAAAATTCCTAGACTGGAAATAGTTATTAAAGTCACCTCGTGAGATCAATGTCACCCCATTTCAGGGTATACAAATCGAGTGTTCACTTACACGTGATTGACTAATTTGAATGAAAATCGGTTATTGTGACATAAGTGCATATAGCCTCGCGCACTTTTTATGAACCATGATAACTACTATAGACATGTAGTACTTTATTTTTGTATCATATCAAATAATGATTTTTCATAGGTAAATTTTTGATACCTTATGATAAAATTATCATGGTTCAGTCGACTTGTTAAACTCTAATAAATTATACGCCCAAACCGATATCATGAATCACTCTGTCCACTGGTGAAAATTGTATGAAAATCCGTTGCGTAGTTTTTGAGTTTATCGCGTTCAGACATATTGACGCGGTGGGGATCGTAATAATGTGTAACGACAGTTGCGCTGTCGCGGCTGCTGGAACTAAGGTACAGTCGGGTAATATGGTCCAGTTTCAGTCCGAGAGCAATAAAAAAATAAATGCCAACAACTAAAAAAAATATTTTTATTCGCAACGTGTAGAAGAACTATAAAGGAAATAAAATTTTATCCAAAAACATCAAAAAAATCAGAAACATGGGAAAAACAGCAAAAACAAATATGTGTCATTTGGGCCATATTTCTGACTTTCGCTGAAATATGGCCCTCAATTAACTTAATTCAGACGAATAATTAGGGCAATAAAACACTTCTGTGTCCTCGGCAGTCAATCCAACGCATATTTCGTGGATCCACAATAGGCAACTGGCGCACTGTCGCATATCACTTACAGAATTCTCATTGCACACACCACATAGCCAATTTTCTTTCGGCTTTGATTGGCTTTTTGACGACTTCGTTGAGTTTGCTTGAGATGAATGTTCGGTAAATATCTCTCTTTTTAACAGCTGCACTTTATAATTTAATGCCTTCCTTTTTGGTCTTGATTTCACTGTTACCATATCAGGCGTTTTCAGGATATCTGAGAAATTCAATTTTTTCTCAGGTGCTGAACATTTTGCTACTTTACGGAGTCCTGCATTTTAGTCTTGATAATAGTTACATTTAAAATATTAATTTTTTTATTCGTATCAGATGTAATAGCAGACGCTAATTGATTAGTCCAGTGAGAATAACCAGCACTCGATTTTTCCTCTATTTTCATTCTTATTGATGGATTATTATTCTTAAGGAAATATGCAAGTGGCAGATCATCATCTGAGCTAATATAACTTTCCGGTTCAGCATCCATCACTTCAGGAATGTCTTTATTCCTCTTCGATATTTTTGGATGCCGCCTCAAAAAACTTTTATACCACGTGAACCCAGGCATCTCTCTTGAACTATTGAATTTATGTGAAATATTGTTGTTATACAAAACAGGTAGACACTTCTTCGCACGGATTTTGGAGTGAGTGGTAGTCCTAAACGAGAGAGCTTTAAAATGCGAGCTTCCAACTCTCCCTCTTGTTCGAAAGTAAGTAAAGATTTACGACCTAATATTCTATCGCTAAGACCAGATTTTATATGATTCCGTTCTAGGAATTCCGCATTTTTGCTCCACGTATCGTTGGCTTTTACCGCTCCTAAGAAGTTGTACCTAGTGCCTCCGACATCATATCTTGAGTCCAATTTACTCGAACTCCCCTACATAATTTCCCCATTTTCGACCTGAAAAACAAAAAACTGAATTAGGATAGAAGGATGAAATGGTCAAAAATATGGCCCACCGCCATGCAGAAATTTGGCCCACTGGCTGGGCCGTATTTCTACCTATGTACAAGATTCATATTTTAGGTTAGATTTTTGTAACCTATAAAGATACTTTAGCAAGTTTTACGAAGGTTAAGGACTACTGTTTCTATTGCATGTAAGCACTTACCTTTAACTGTATTATACCCTGCAATATTTCACTTTCAACTTTCACCAAAATAATAATGTATCAACTCCTAAGGAACAGTTGCGGCTTACGTGCAGAACGGAAAGAGCGCGGAATTCTGAATTATAAATTAAACCTCATTTACCGACATGACTGAACTTTAAAATAACGAATCTATGCATCAACAGATGTCACTACAGAAAAATATATGAGCAGTGGGCCTTATTCATGCCTGGGCCATATTACTCGAATGTACCTTATTTCAAGTTTTAATGGTAAATGTAGAAGAGTATAAAATCGCTAAATAATTGTTTTTGAATAATGTTTCTAAAAGGGCAATATTTTTCTACCTGACCATACTTTTTGACATTTTTGAGCTATTTGGAAGTAGTGCTGTCAGATTTCTTCCAAATTCTGCTTGATGTAATGTAAATTGCCGAGGTGCGTACACTTTTATCAGTCATTCTTGCATGATTTTGTGATTATGCTGACGAGAAGATATAGTAAAGACATAGCTAATTTATCCAAGATAAGGCCACAAGTACACCTATTGCCCGTTTAAATGCTCCATTAGGAAATATCCAAAAATATGCTGGTTTCTCGGAAACATCAAAAAACGGAGCGTGATCGTTTTTTTATTTTATTTTACCCGTATCTCCGCCGCGTTTTTCGTCTTTGACATAGCGACAACCTAGGATCAAAATTTCATCGAAATCCGAGTGCTACTTAGGGGGGTTAAGGATTAGCACTCACTCAGCAGACCAACAAAAATTAATGGTTTTTCATGATATACATGTCTGTATCATCTTTTATTCAAAATTTCTCGCGATTACAACACTTCCTCGTCAATTGGGGTCGCAAGTAATATGCAAAGAAGTGATCCAGTAAAGATTTCAGCCTCACAGTACAAATATTTTTCATGTTTCGATTTTCCAAGCTGAATTTGAATTGATGTGCGGGATGTATAGGCTCAACCTATTCGACTTAGTACAACACAAATGAGGGGTTCGGGTGTGAAATCTGGTATGTAGCACAAACCTCGTCTTGAATAAAGCGAAGTTTAAGTTTTGAAAATATTTTAGCCATTAAACTAATGCAATAATAGCCACACATGGGGCTTTTACAATAAATGCACAAAGTTGGTTCAAACAATTTTTTAGTAAGGTGAATCTGATCATTTTTTACAATTAGTGCATGTACTTACCATTCTTTGGATTATGTTTGTTGCATAAATGAAAACCGAAATAAAATAAGTAGGCATTTGAACACAAAGTTTATTAAAAATAAAATCTTTTTCCTTACAAAATTGTTTAAATTAAAACGAGAAACTTGTCTATTCTTGTTTCACTGTGTATTCTGCTTCAGACCTCTGTAAAAAGAGTGATATGCTTGAGGAATCCATTGCAAGCAAGACATCACATGCTCATGTTTTGACTTCTCTATTTCTAGAGACGAATCATACTTATTATTTAATAAATGGAGCTTAAAAGGTAGCAGGTCGGCCCCTCTTTTCAATGAACCAGGTGCAACTAGATCATGATAAGTGTCGGGGGCATGTAAAATTGATAGATTTTTTGCAGAAAGCTCCACTGTATTTCTGATACTGAACGTTGTTGCATTCGGTTGTTGAAAATATTCTCGCAACTTATTAATTTGTTTGAAATCCTCTTGAGCCATCCTATAAACCTGGAATGCTGGTTTCTTTGGTGCCTTCTGCAACACTTCCTCCCAACTCGTCGGATTGGAAACAAACTGACAATGGGCCCTTACGTACTTCTCTACCATGGCAAAATCTCTGTGAGACGATAACATAGTGTGCCCCATGTGTATTTGTTTAAAGTGGCCTAATCCGAGCCAAACAGATAATGTCCAATTCTTGTTTTGCCACCCGCAATTGTCAGAGATAGCAATGAGTTTTCACCTCTAATGTTATGTTCAAAATGTTTTAGCAAGCAATTCCCAATTTCGTCAGCACCTCTGCCTGCTGTAGATTCATCCCACATGTAAAGGTATCCTTGCGAAGGATGCAGGCCATGAATGAAAGTTATAGCAGAATATTTTTTTGTAAAACGTTGGACCAGTGAAAAGTTTTGGGGTGAGCAATGCTTGTTGTAAGTCAAAAGTTATTGCGTATGTTCCAGGATTTTCCAGTGCCTCTTTTCGTGCATTATTGATAACATCTTGCTCAGCTTTAGCTTTTCTATGGTGTAACTATAGTTCTGTTGTTAACTACTTCAATTTGTCATTATCGTTGTTAGCTTTAGCTTATTTTATTCCAACGTTGGTAGAATCGCAAACACCGCTCGAATCTGTTTTAGGAGACTTAAAACTGATATTGTACTCTTCAATAGAAGTGCATCTAAATTTGTCAAGAGAAACAGGTATCTTTTGGTTTTCTAAGCACCCAACCTGATAAACCTCATAGCAATGTTTATGTATGGTATACATACTCCTTTGTCATAAACATACGATTTCGGTTATCACTTCTCAAATAATGGCTATTTTTGGCAACCATTGGATAAATGAACGAACCCAATTTAACTGTTCTTCATTATATTTTCTTTTGTGTGCTTTATAACGGCCTCCCTTATCCACAACTGGTGTATTATACCCTAGTGCGATTTTAGCTGCTATATTCTCTATTCTTCCCCGACTTCCATGCAAGCCATGGATATTCATACACGCCTTTTTGCATAGTCTCCGCATACTACTACCAAATACTTTTTTGTCCAATGACGTCTGGAAGGTGCATCTGTTTTAGTCTGTCGTTTTACTTTCCCATATTTTAAGCAACCAAATAAGTAAGCATTTTGAACATTCCTATTCTCCATCTTCCAAAATTCCGTGAAAATTTTGGAGCGCTCCGGTAATGTTACAATGCCAAAACATTTTTTCTTGCAATGGCAGCTTGGCCCTTGTCTCCTTGTTGGAACATCTCGACCTTTTCCCCTGTAGGTTTTATAGGTTTCTCCATGGTTTCGCGGCTTCTGATTTCTAATCTGATTATTCAAAGCATTCTTGCACTTTCGGCCTTTTTTTTCTTGTTCATGATTTCCATCCTAAACCAAAAGGCATAGTTTGCACTACAATGTAAAACATGGTATCTACACCAGATACCATTATTCACCCACATATACATCGTGAGATGTAAAAAATTTGTATCTGCAGTAGTTAACACTGTTTACCTTAGATAACCTCAAAGTATGAACAAGCTAGGATTGAAACTTGATTGTTCATCGGTTGAGTAGGGATCCTGTTGTGACGAATTTTCACCATAGGAATCACTGTGGCTGTGAGAAACGGTACTGGTAGCCATTTTTAACACATACCAGGTTTTACATGCTACGTTAATAACTTTTCAAAATTGAAGCAGAATTTGTTTTAAATAAGCATTTACCATGCTTTACATTTGCTAACTTAATTTTGAGTAAAATGTCAGTTACCACCCGAACCCTTCAAATCTATATTGTTAGGTTTGATTCGAATATCACTATGAAGGCCGTTGGATTAGTTTGGCATAGGTCATTTTTAAAAGTATATCACCTAAATGACGTATTGTTTTTTATTTGCTCTAAGTAGAGCTTTTCTAGGTCTTCATACTTAGGGCCCTATCATCAGTCGCTACTGCAATTCAGGAAGGCTGGAATATTTCTAGATTTCTACTGTTCCGTGTCATCCTCAGTGCTGTCCTATTGTGAGGCAATGTTTTATTTTTGAATTGTAGAAAATTTCAGTCTATAACAGGTGTACAAATCAAAAACATGAACAGTTTGATGAAAATAGATATTTGTAACATATCCTCAAAATATAGCGCTGACACGGAACAGTAGAAAACAAAGACAATCAAGGAGGTCATAAAGGCGTCCGACAATTGTAGGAATGACCCCTTAGTACTTGTAAAGTGCTTGTTGCATGATGTTTTAGATGTTTAATGTGAATTATCAAGCTTTACAGACTGATTTTCACGTTCCGTCCATTATGTGATGTTTTTTTGTTTTCTTTGTATTTGCAATGGAATGCACGTTTTTATACTTTCCTAATAAAATGGGAAACAACATCATTTTTATTATTGTTTCATTAATCGGTTAAATGCGCGTAACAATGTGGATGCGTCACGTGTTTCTAAACAGCATTATTCAAATTACGATTATGTTAAATGTAAAATCATTATAAATTTCTCACATGATTAACATACGTTGTCAACCTTCATGCAATCATGCACATTTTCATAGATCCTTGCTCGTACTGCGTCTCAAGCAGATGTTCTGAATTTTTATGAACTTGTTATGATACAACGAACATTCTAGCCCTTCTTTTGCCTTAAAAACTTTTTTAGGAAAATCCTTCAACAAAAGCTTTAGATGATCAAAAATCGAATTTAATATTATGGCCTAAACAGGGTCACGTTTGCAGATTCACATGCAACTACCATTTTCTAGTGTAAGTAAGCATGTCGTTCTACGTTAAAATAGACTGTCGTCTGTGGCCAAGTTTGTAGGTCCAGCGGTAACCTTGAAAACTTATTTCGGAAATAAGTTTATACAATTGAATCGGTAATTGCAAAAAATAAAATCTGTGTCAATGACAAATAAACCAGTTTTAAAGTACATTTCTGGGCTTAATGTAGTATTGGTGTTCCAAAAGATTGAAATTTCGAATAACCGAAAAACAGTTTATTAAAAATCACAATGGAGAAGCCCGAAAGGCTGTTGTGGACTTAACGTTTTTTAGCAGGAGTTAGGGTTATCATTTTTATTATTATTAACATGTCACATTTTTTAATCTTGCGTATTTTAATATACCATCGTGAAAAAATATATAGACGTATTTGGCCAACTTTCTTCAATAATCAGCAATTGGTTAAAGAATAACCTACGTGCTTATTTTACTACCCTGGATCAAAATGTATTTTTTCAACAAATAAATTGCCACTGCAAGAAAGCTGTTGTGCCGTCTTCATATTATCTTTAGGAGCAGCTATTTAAAATATTTAGCGTATATTAACAGGTCATTCTACTTAGTACAAATGAGAAGGATTGAGTCAATGGATGTGGTAGATATCGGTCTTGTTTTTAGCTCAAGTAGGTTCCAATAACAACTATTTCTTAATGCAGAATCATGAAGAATCTTAAAATTTTACGTTATACATGAAAAGTTTTACTATGAACGTTTTTAATAAAAGTGCATAATTGTTATGTTAGCAACGCAATGAAGACTGAAGTGACTTAGGTAAAGTGAGCTCAAACAGTTTGCAATAAAATAATTATTTGGATACAGAACATTTATTAGACCATTAACGGGATTCAGATTTTGTAATAGAATTACTAGAACAAACAACAGAATACAACGTAACATTTAAATATACCATACCTATCAACCGTCATGCATTCATGCACGATACCACACAGCCTTACAGATTTATTTCTCCTAAAACATATTTCATACCCTGTAGGATATACATATACTTACTGGCAATTGAAACTTGTATCTTTAATGATAATTGGAAAACTTCGTGGAAAGGAGTTTAAAGGTATTTGTGAAGACTTTTTTCATATCTTTGATAAACTGCTTCAAATTTTTTCAAACCTTTTCAAAATAAATGTAAGAGTTGTATGTAATATAGGTACTCAGGAACTATGTAAAGATATGACCTAGATGTAGGGCTCCCATATTTTATCAGAATAGTTAAAGAAAGAAACATATAGCCAGACAACACATACTTAACGCCACGTCAAAACTACACTGTCACAGCATTGTAATAATATCACGTTAAAATCAGTTTGTAGTGTAGACTTTCGTAGAATAAATATTACACCAAGCTTGACACAATATAAACGAAGTGTTAATATTTACGCAGATCTCATTACCAAAAACTCATACATGATGTAACCAACGACCATTCGAATGCCTGAAAATGGTCAAAAATCTTGGGAAGTAATGGACCAAATTTTGAACAGGGTAATACTCGAAACAACACTACTTTTTTTAAATTCGAATACAACCGCATAATCTACTAACTCCATCCAGCTTACTTATGACGACGATGTCAAAAGAATAGAAAAGGTCCAGTATGTCGGCACGTACTACTCCGATATCTACTAAATTTTAAGCATGTGGATCATCAATCATTAAGTATCAGGAATTAATAACCGTGCTGTGGACAGATCAATTATTTAGTCAATACAATACTTAAGTGTAGTTTCCAAACATCAGAACTTCACCTACTCGACCCACTGGTGATTGAAAGTATATGGGATATCTAGGAAATCACTGGACTGGGATCTACTAAATTTTATCAGATTTATTATTTATTTAGAGACAGTGCTACCTACGGCTATTGGTCATATTTTCATAAGCATGTTAGATAGAGTCTTGCTACTAGGGGACACCAGAGGGTTAATATATGCGAATAAAAAGGCATCACTGTACTTAAATTATTGCCACCTCGAATGTTTGATTCTTTCCCTGGTTGAAATTAGATGTATATCAATTCAGTAGTTCCAAAGATGTTATCATATCTCCATCACTCTCTGGTCTACGTTACGTTAGTCAGCAGCGGTGGCCGCAGTAGTAGACTCTACGGTCTCCTGATCAGTCGCCGTGCGCTGTGCGGGTTCGAATCCCGTTCCAGGAGAAAATTTTCTCTTGGCTATGGATGTTGTGATTGTCCGTAGGTGGTAGACGGTCTCTGACTGTCGAACGCGAAGGTGCCACCCGGCCGATCTCGTAGGCGGTGCCAGAATGTGTGCATGTTGCATGCACACGTGTTCCCTCGCCAGAGTCCGTGTGGCGTTCCCCCTTTCCCCCGGTACCCAATGGGTGTTTAGGACTTAGGCCTTCGTGGTAGTTGGAGTATAAAAAAAAAGTAGTTTGGATAGTTTGAAATTTTGGAGGTCATACTGGGGGGAGTGTTAAAGGGTTAATATATGATAATAAAAATAATAGCATTGTATTCAAATTTAAAAAAGTAGTTGTTTCTGAAAAAAAAAAAAAGAAAAACCTGACAGCAAAGCAGTTAGTACCACCTTATCGGAAATGATCAATTATTGTCCTATTTTCAAAATTTGGTGAATATCGATCTACTACTTTTCAAGCCGTTTGACAGTTTCTCGGCTATTGAATAACGTTCATGGATTAATTTATGAAGTGGCAGTATCACTTTCTGATACAGCGTCAGGTAATACATTTGGTTAGCCCATACATCTTTAAACAAGATGATCTAAAGTATGTGCCATTGTCAATGCAGACGAACTTGAAATGTATCGTCTATGTTCACTGGACACTGGTATACCTTCTCCAAAATGGGCGCCCGCGGGAGAGCGCATTGAGAATCCAGTTAAACCATAAAATTTGTATGCATATTTAGCATGATTTTGTGTACAATATGGGGATTTCAAGATTTGCCCCCCCCCCCTGAGAAAAATTCCTGCGGGTGAGCATATTATCCAGACAGTAGAGGTGTTTTAAAACGTGGTGAGCCATGACCGTTAGACGACATGCACGGATTCAAATCTGTGGAGAAGCAGACACGTCACAATACAAGCATTGCTAAAAACATAACTGATACTAGATCTGCTGTAGGTCAGTCAAATTATTTCGGTAATTTTTGTCACACTGCTGTTTATTAAATAATTTGGTGTGGTGATACAACATAAATTAATTACAGAACGCGTATTTTTTAACGGAACATTGAGAATGATATTCATTTAATTTGATTCCCTTACGAAACGTTGTTTCCCTACTATTTAAGTATTCAATGACGTGCTTAGAGCTAATATAACTGGCTTATAATCGTTCCTCATTATGTGTGTTTCGCCGTCGTCGCGTGGGTAGCGCGTTATGGAATCAGTAGCGTAGTTAGCTGGTAGCTGACAAATCAATTATGGAAGAAGTAAGACTGGGTTATTCAGTATGAGAAGGTGGTAATCACCACTTTTCAAACCTGATTTGAAGAGAAGTTCTGCATTCGGTACAAAACCCTTTTCCCTCACAATGAAACACAACTAATCGTTTTCCCTTGGCCAGTGGTGCTTGCAGACAGGTATTAGTCCCATCGTCCCAGGACTTTGGCACTGTATGAGAGCTGTGAATGTAAGTCTCGTGGTTGTATACAATGTTCCTACCTGCGAAAAGGTTTCTTCTAGAGCAAACTGTTACTTTTAAAAACTTTAAGGAAATTATTTTGAAAACAAAAATCTTCATTTGTTAAGTATGTGGTCTTTCATTGAAATCATTTTTCAATACATTTTTGTTATATACAGTATACACTAATTTTTGCGGTCATTCATGTACCTTCAATCTTAAATTTTAGATTTATTTGGTCACATGTCCGAAAAAAATTTTCAAATACATATAAAGTAACTCATCTAATAAGGTTTATGACAATTTTTTGATACATCGATATTGTTGAATGGACTGAAATCATATCATAACATACAAGATTTCCTTGTACTTCTTCAATTTCCTTGAAAACTCGATTCGTTTTAAACCAATGTCTTGTTTTCCAATCAATAGTTTCCAATTATCTTCCACTTTTTTCCAGCAAAAGACTAATTTATGAAATTTGTTTCTGAAGGATCCGATTTTCCCCGAAAGGTTTACTCAATCACTTTTTGCACCTTCATAAACGACTTAATGGTACGCCGTCGCTTATGAATATGGACAAATTTATAAATTATTTTTCTTATCTCTGCCTCAAACCTGTCCACTGTTGATTTCGGACTTGGTTTAGAAAGAGTTTTTCTTGGGGAGACACATTTATTGCCTGTGGGTTTGATCGAACCTGCTTTCACAATGCGTTTGACGGTATTGAGTGATACATCTGTGGCCTCTGCTACTCGATTCATGAGCTGATTTAGAGGTAAAATGACTTCCCCTGCCTCTTTTTCACGGCTGAATTGAAAAACATATACAATCTCTTGGCCCCGGCTATGAACAACCTTGTGCTGGTTCTTATCCCTTTTAAGAAAAAAATATTATCATAGATCTGAGAAAAATTATCATATTGGAGTTCATGTTTCTCTGAAAAGGTTCGCAAATAAAATGTGAATGCGTTCCACTCGATCTAGGGGCAACATTTGATTAACATAATTAAACACATATACGTAACATCTCAGTTTATCAGCTTTATACATGAAAAAGAACAATACCAACTTCAATACTAACGCTGTTTCATACAATAAGTCATCTACAATCTCCGAAACTTTTACACTCACATATTGAATATAAAAAACAATATTCACAACCCTGGTCTACCGTAAAGGAAATTCAACATACAAAATCGTAACGCGCACGCCAATGAGTACCGATAGTTCTCCCTTGGATGTTCAAAGCCGAGTGCCAGTGTGCCCTGCCTCGAACAAGTCTATGTTTGTGATTAGGGTAATATTCTTGCCACCGCTCTAAAGCTGTCTTCTGCGCATCCACATAATGTAACGGTCACGGCCCACGACATTTTAAAACACCTCTACTGACTTCCAGTACACTTTTTATTGATATGTTTGGAACAAGAGTCGTAATAGCAGCATCACTATAAAGGTTTCATTCGGATGCAAAGGTATTCTGAGGACTAATAACTTACATAATAAAGTACAGTAGGTAATCATTCATTGATGAGCCGTCCAGTAACTTTAAAGCAATTTCCTAAATGACTCAGATATAAGGGAGATAAGTGACATCATGTGTAGCATAGCCTCCTCTATAGAACAGATATTTTTATTACTGAAATCATCTACTACGTTTACACAGTCTTAAACCATCTATGTCAATCGCTTAGGTCCAGATTTAGTTGATATGCGTCCCATTTTAATCTTCCGACCAAATTCATTGTTAGAAAAAAGTTTCAAACAAGAACCGTAGGGTTTCGAGGAGGCAAAATGGCCTTAGCTATGACCTTCAGGGTTATTTTAAGGTCAAGTGAATATTTTCAAATGAAAGGTTTTCACATCGCAATTGAAAAGATGAGCAAATTTTACGTCCTAACATCATCCTGGCTACGACCGTTTTCTTCAAGGTCCAATCAAGGCGTTAAAAAAATTTGCTCTAGCAAAAATGTTCGTCAGTATAGTTATAAGGTTTGTGAGGATTACCAAAAAGTGACCTTGATCCACAATGACCTTCAAGGCCAAGTCAAAATTTCCAATCATCTCATTTTTATACTGGAAATGGGAAAAGCAGGAAATGTTACGTCCTAATGTGACCTTCACCTTAAAGTCAAGGTTGCGTCAAGCTTAAATGTTATTTGAAGTCAATCCCAGTCGCACGTGAAATTTCCTGCTTTTTCCATGTCCAGTATAAAAAATGTGAGGTATCCTTTGAAAATTTTGACTTAACTGAAGGTCACTGTCAAGGTCACCTTCGGGTGATAAACCTCACAACCGTGCTGTCGAACATTTTTGCTATAGCAAATTCTGCTCGATGTCTTGATTTGACTTTTAAATGGCCTTGAAGGCAACGGTCAAGGTCATAGCCAAAGTGATACTTAGGCCCGTATCGTCAGTCGTCCCTACAATAATTGTAGGGCGCATTTATGGCCTCCTTGATTGTCATACTCCTTTCTCTCCTTAAAAAATTTCTAGATTACACTTGTCCCGTGTCAGCGTCAGCGCCAGTGCTCTCCTATTGTGAAGATATGTTTTCTTTTTAAATTGTAGGAAATTTCAGGCTGATAAAACATGATATAACTCAAAAGCAAGCACAATTTGATGCAAATAGATGTTTGTGACATAACCTCAAAATAGAGCGCTGACACGGAGAAGTAGAAAACTATGACAATCAAGGAGGCCATAAAGGCGCCCTACAATTGTAGGGACGACTGACGATACGGGCCTTAGACGTGAAATTTGCTCCTCTTTTCAATTCCGATGTGAAAGAGGGGGAATAACATCTGAAAATATTTGAACCAATGTCGGACAAGTCATTGTAGTGATGATCCTCATCATTTTGTCCCCTCGAAACCCTATAACTTTCATTTAAAATTTAAAACTTTTTTGCTATTGCATTATTTTCGAAATATTTAGGTTGGGAGATTAAAATCGGATATATATACCTATATATATATACGTATATATATATATATACGTATATATATATTATTCATAGTTAATTGCCTTAAATGTTAGGAGAAAATATCCTTGAATTTCTTTGGGTAGAAGGCAAAGTATTGCAGAAGTACACTCTTATAACTTAAGCTCTAGCTTTCGAAGATCTATTTCTATTCGTCGACTGTTCGTTCACTGTTGTTTAAAAACAATTTCAGCAACAATCTCGCCGACTTAGTAACTATTTTTTCTCCTAATTGTTATTTGTTGCTGTCTGTCAGCATCACGCATGATCCACAATACGGAGAGAGACGTAAACATTTGTACACTTGTAGGTTGTAGGCATGGTTTTATCCGCGGACTCATGGTCGATTTTGCGATGGAATCTATCGCGATAAGTATTCCACCGCCAGCGTCAAGCTAGCAAGAGCGCGGTTGCCAGCTCCCGCTGGCAGTAATGGCTTAGGTTACGTGTTTTTAAATAGTAGTTAAAAATGTGTTCCAATCATTAATTAACATATTCTACCCGAAGAAAGCCAACCTCATGCCATATTCTTGAGCCTAGAAAATTATCCGAGATAAAATAAGATATTGTAGCCGTCATCTATGAGAAGTTGTAACAGCTGTTTCTCTATTTATTATGTATGCTATGTATGATAGTAATTCATAGATGGCGCTGCCTATATGAGCATATACAAGCATATATGTGGCTACAGTGCCATCTATGAAGCGCTAAGCTTTTCAAAGTATACAGGGTGTTCTGAAAGTTGTGACTTTCCTTTCTAGAAACAACTACGTTTGGAATAACAAAGACAAAGAGCAGTAAAACAGTAGCAGCACGATTATGGACGTTGCTTATAAACAGCGACAGCATGTTTTCAGATTTGTTTTCTAAACATGTGACCATTTTGCAAAATTATGAAGAAATTAGGTTTAAAAAAAATATTTACTGAAAATGTGATAAAGTAGGAAATTTAAAAAAATATCTATTAAAATTTGAAGTTTCGAGTTTAGCACGTTATAAAAATTGATAAATATGAATGTACCACCATTTTGTCCCGCGGAAGTAAAGACCCGAAACGTGATCGGAAATTAACGCTTTATTACAAAACACCTAAAGCATTATATCAAAAAAAAGCTTATGGTAAAGAGAATCAAGGAGTGTGAAAATGCACATCTATTTTTTTTTTTGAGAAATTGTCCATTTTGCGTTATGACCACCCTGAATAACTTGTTCAAACAACTGAAAAAGTAAGTCCATAGGAACAAAATATGGCTTCATGAAATGTGACCAGGCAACCATGCTGTTATCTATTCTACTATTATTTATCATTCATAAATAACAAGTTTCATAAAAAAACAGATACCTGCAGATTCAAGCGGTCAGAGGCTAGTATGGATATTTTAATACATTTTAGTTAATTGCCAAAGTAGTTACTGGATTTCATTGAGTATTGTATTTCTTCCTCTGAAACCCTTCTCCTTCACACTAATGCAAAATGGATGGCCTATACTTTACACTACTTCTACGCGAGCGGAGCCGCGGGTCTAGACTAGTATACTATAAAGTATGAATTACAAAACTTGCAAGACAACTTGAAAGTTGTGTGTAGGACTAGCCCTTAGCAATACTGCTGCTACAGTAGTTCACATGATCCAAAAAGATATACACCACTTCAATTGTGTGAATTATTATAACAAAATCGATTTACAATAAACCGTTTTAACTATTTTAGGCCATATAGCGGACGTGTAAACGTAGTGATAAAACTTTTGTTAAATCAGTATAAAAGATTAGCAATGAAAATCAAATCAGTAGAAGGTCACACTGCACACGTGTTAAATAGTAGTAAATTATAACATCGATCATCAGTGAGATGGCAGATTAAGTTTCTAAGTTCCATAGTTGTATACCGTTACATATTTTTATGGTTGTTGCAGAATATCACATTTTTTAACTTTAGAAGAAGAAAAAGCGATACTTGGATTCCAATGTAGCACCCACACATTAACTGTTTTTAATATCGCGACTCATTCCACATAGAGATTTTGAAATGTGATCATTTTCAAACATGAATTAAAACTTTTACTTATTAATGTTATGCCAGGAAGGTCCTGACTGAAGCTTTTATAGCAGATCTACAAACAGGGCAATCTTCAAGATTTGGCGCACAATTTACACAAGTAACTAGATGTCCACATGGTAAAAACACTATACCAACTTCAGCATCCATACAAATCTTACACAGCCTTGCTTCTTTTAGAAGTCTATTTTCCTCTTCTAAGGTCAATGTTTTCTTTGCTGAAGGAATAGGCCTGACAGATTCCTCGACCACCTGCTCTGTCATTTCATTTGCTACATCTACAGGAACATTATGACACTCCGAGGGTTTAACAGGGGCTATAGCCTCCCGCACGGCGCAGTCTACGTGGAAATTAGGTTCTAATGCATCTTGGTCATGTTCTGCAACATGTTCATGTTGAATATTGAGGGCCGCTTCAACCAAAGCGTCCGCTTGCGAATATCCAATGCCAGTTTGTTCTAACTTCTCCCGAATAGCACGCTTGACGGTCTCTAATGTTAAGCCTATGTTCAGTGCAGCCATTGCTTGAGGGCTTGATAACTGAGCCTGCACCTCTTGTTCTGTAATAGGATATTTCCGGCGGGTGCTTTGGATCTTTTGGATGGAGTGACTCTGGAATGAAATAAATTGCCATAGAAAGAAAATTATAGATTGGTCCCTTCTCTATAGAATATGAAAAAAAAGTGTGGTTAATACTACATTCCAGGAGAAAATAGCTGGTATTTGAGATGTTACATAGACTTTTGGAAAGTAGATTCTCACATGTACATTGTACGCCACCTAGTCAGCGGAGATACGCCGAGAGCGACGAATCCAGCGCATAACAAATAAATGGCCATATTGCTCATTTATCTAAATGTTTTCATAACTAGTATTCAATGATTTTCTTTACCTTTGCAAAACACTGCCTGGGCAGTCAACATTTTAGTAAAGCTTCAACATCTGTAATTTTATATTTCGGCCAGGAAAACTAGGAGGTGAACATTACTTGATATGCATATCAGTCAGTAAAGAAATGTACTATTATTTATTAATTTAAGCACAAACTATGAGAATTAATCGAATTCTCTCTCATTTCTCATATAGTTCTTTAGTATTTGGTCTGGAATAATAAGATTAATGTTAGGTACTTCATACCTGCTGCCTCAACAAGTGGAATAGTAAATTTTCGGTCGAAATCTTTTAATTATATAGCCTGGTAATGGGACACAATTTGTTTAAAAACCGTACAAAAACCCTATAATGGTTTCACATTTGAATTTAGGTCACTGAAATAGGGTTCTTTAGCATAACGAAAAGTCCGGATCCTGCTGTAAGCAGCAAAAGGAAAATTTATGAAAAACTTTCAAGGTCTTTTTATAATAATATATTGTAGCGGTTTTCTGGGTTCTTTTGGGTGTGGATTAAAACACTGGATTCCAAAAAAAGAAAGGCACTAATTTATTTAACTTGATAGAACATTTATGTACACCACTATTTATGTCTGACTAATTCTTATGCCGCCATTGACTGCACTATACTCCACTCCGCTCTGCTCTGGTGTAATCTGTACTCTGCTTGCATCTCCCGGCCACCGAGATATATATATATATATATATATATATATATATATATATAACTTGAGACGTGGTCATTGTCTAGACCAGTTAGGTGAAAAATTAAAGCTTCCGCCTTTTGTTGGGTACTTCGACAAAATTTAAGCAAAGAGGACTTTATACTTTTTTAATTCTCTCTAGCTTTCAATGGACTTTGCCATCATCATCAGGAGCTGCAATTACAATGATAACAGTAGCAACAATAGTGTAAAATGAATTTAAATTGGCTCAACTTTCAGTAGTATGTGAGGATGTTGCTAATTGTTGTTTACGTATAGGATGAGGGAAACGTCCAGTAACATGGTGAGAGCTGGATAGATGGTACAATGGTCAAAATTATATAAAATATGACAAGAACAAGTTAAAAACAGATTAAAAATTATTTAAAAACATTAAAGCATTACATCGTGAAGCCACTTGATGATTGCACAAAATGGTGGTCATGGAATAATATGAGTGAGATGAACCATTTGACAGAAGGCCGAAGGTTGTCAATGTCTGTGTAGAAAGATGGAACGAATTGTGGGTGTGTGCCAACGTTGCAAAATCACTTCAGATGATGTGATTTTCAGAATGTTATGTAAGAAATTGTTAAACCGACCAGAGGCAGTTGAATAAACTATATTTTAATTAATGGGAAATTAAATTAACAATTATTATTAAATCGTGAGAAGAGAATTATTAGAATTTGAGTGGAATGAAATTTACTGGTGGAATCGACCAAGATACAGATTCTATTTATGGTTGTGAAGAGTCAAAATTTGGGGAGATATGTAAGTTCTCCAATTTTTCGCAGTTTAGCAAATATGAGTAAATGACACTCAGTTGTTTAACATCTGTCTTTTTGTTGATACAGTTGTTAATCATGAAAATGTGGGACATTTCCAGGAATAAACGTTTGGAAAGGTGTTTTTCTTTATCAAGAACTTTGATACTTGTGTAATTCATAGAATGCCCTGTTGTGTTAACATGAGATGCTAGAGCGCATCTTTCAGGATGAAGCCTAGAATCACTTTTGTGTGATGTAATCCTTCCTTTAAGAGATCTGGATGTCTGACCTATGTATATTTGGTTGCAGTTGTTGCAATTGATGGAGTAGACTGTGTTGGTTAAGCCAAGCAGCGGGACTTTGTCTTTCATTTTTGAAAAAATGCAGTTTATAGTGAGGACGGATTTGCAAGCAATTCGAAAGTTCAAAGGACTGCAAAATCTGATCAGCTTAGGGGTCAGTTCCTTGATATAGGGCAGGACAGCAAAACCAGGTCTGGAGTCCGGGTTGGTGCTTGTACTGTTTGGATTGTTGCTATTGTTTGGAATTACAGCTATGACCCCTACATCCAATTTACCATTGAAAAAGAAGATGATAACCTGTCTGTCCCCTTTCTAGACACAAGACTCATCCGCACCAACAACAACAGTTATTGGTAGACTGGTACCAGAAACCTATGGCCTCAGGTCGGTTTCTCAATTTTAGGTCATACCATAAGCTAGGGATTAAAATCAATTTGGAAAAACAGATGAAAACAAGGGTAATCAGCATCTCAGATAATACTTTCCACACCTCAAATTTACGTAAACTATCAAAACTGTTCATCAATAATGGTTATCCGAAGTGTCTGATTAACAAGATCTTATTTAGTTCACCTTCCAATATTCTGCCGAACTCTGATGATGCAGGTAATAGTCGCACAACCCCTAATAACGGAACTGATGTAATTCCAAACAATAGCATCAATCCAAACAGTACAAGCACCAACCCGGACTCCAGACCTGGTTTTGCTGTCCTGCCCTATATCAAGGAACTGACCCCTAAGCTGATCAGATTGTGCAGTCCTTTGAACTTTCGAATTGCTTGCAAATCCGTCCTCACTATAAACTGCATTTTTTCAAAAATGAAAGACAAAGTCCCGCTGCTTGGCTTAACCAACACAGTCTACTCCATCAATTGCAACAACTGCAACCAAATATACATAGGTCAGACCTCCAGATCTCTTAAAGGAAGGATTACATCACACAAAAGTGATTCTAGGCTTCATCCTGAAAGATGCGCTCTAGCATCTCATGTTAACACAACAGGGCATTCTATGAATTACACAAGTATCAAAGTTCTTGATAAAGAAAAACACCTTTCCAAACGTTTATTCCTGGAAATGTCCCACATTTTCATGAATAACAACCGTATCAACAAAAAGACAGATGTTAAACAACTGAGTGTCATTTACTCATATTTGCTAAACTGCGAAAAATTGGAGAACTTACATATCTCCCCAAATTTTGACTCTTCACAACCATAAATAGAATCTGTATCTTGGTCGATTCCACCAGTAAATTTCATTCCACTCAAATTCTAATAATTCTCTTCTCACGATTTAATAATAATTGTTAATTTAATTTCCCATTAATTAAAATATAGTTTATTCAACTGCCTCTGGTCGGTTTAACAATTTCTTACATAACATTCTGAAAATCACATCATCTGAAGTGATTTTGCAACGTTGGCACACACCCACAATTCGTTCCATCTTTCTACACAGACATTGACAACCTTCGGCCTTCTGTCAAAGGGTTCATCTCACTCATTATTCCATAACCACCATTTTGTGCAATCATCAAGTGGCTTCACGATGTAATGCTTAATGTTTTTAAATAATTTTTAATCTGTTTTTAACTTGTTCTTGTCATAGTTTATATAATTTTGACCATTGTACCATCTATCCAGCTCTCACCATGTTACTGGACGTTTCCCTCATCCTATACGTAAACAACAATTAGCAACATCCTCACATACTACTGTAAGTTGAGTCAATTTAAATTCATTTTACACTATTGTTGCTACTGTTATCATTGTAATTGCAGCTCCTGATGATGATGGCAAAGTCCATTGAAAGCTAGAGAGAATTAAAAAAGTATAAAGAGTCCTCTTTGCTTACATTTTGTCGAAGTACCCAACAAAAGGCGGAAGCTTTAATTTTTCACCTATATATATATATATATATATATATATATATAGTCCCCGTTGCTGCTTCGAGAAAGGTCTGGTCAACCACAAAGCAACATCTAGAATATTGGAGGTCACTTCGCGTCGATCTAGAAGGCGATCCACTGCCACGGTCCTCACAGCCGCCGCCAAGCGGCTTGTGCGGTCGTGGTTCGCGCAAAAGCAGAGTAGAAAGTGGTTCTCAAGACAAAAGTTGTCTCTATGATATTTTTATATCTATATTCGTTTATTTACTAATTTTCATAGTACTGTCCTTAGTCCCTACTTGAATGTACATAACTGAGTACAAAAAACCTTATGCTTATTAGGAAATGTTGGCGATTTGATATACCTATATACAGGGTGTCTGCGAAAGGTTGGGGGAAATCTCGAAACTGGAGATACTACAGACCAAAATATGTGAATTGACCTAAACATACCTTAGTCCAAAAGTTGATAGTTTGCGAGATACATACAAGTTACAATTTTATTTTCTATTCCGTTATTTTTTATGGTCAAACTTCTAGTACTTACAGTATTATTTCGGTAAATAACTTATCATAACTTTTTTGTGCTATCCTGTATACAACAACTGACCGAAAAATCTCATTTTCTCGTACTTCCACAATAAAAAACATGTTAGAAGTGTCTAAAGCTAATAGTTTTCGAGATATTTGTTTTTAAAAGTTCCAATGCATTATTTGTAACATGATGATAACACATTTTTATATCATAACAATCAAGTTGCATGTTCAAACCTTAAGGAGTGATTCTTTAATTCTGTGATTACTTTGTTGCAAAAACAAGATAATAACAAACTAATTAAATTGAAGAATGAAGGCTTTCATGGCTAATTCTAATGTCATGGGCGTGCGGTTTTATAGGCGGACTGAGTTGTCTGGTGGGGGTACTCTGGGTCCCTTGAGTGACGTGGTTTTTGTGCTGTTTTTTTTTAGAATTGGGAACCACGTTTTGTTTAAAGAAAGGCCATCTTCTTTTCTATTGAAATTATCATTGTGTTTGTAGATTTCAATTGCTTCTCTGTACATTCGGACTGAGTAGTGGGTGGGTGTTGATAGGACTTCAGTTTGGTCGAACAAAACATTGTGGCCGTCTTGGAGTGCGTGTTCGGCCCCCGCTGAGTTATCAGTTTGTCCCAGTCGACAGTTTCTTTCATGCTCCTTGATGCGTGTTTGGCAGCTACTTTACCCCAGGAACACGGTATTCTGTATATGCCGGCACCGCTCAGGGAGTCGCTCCTTTACTGATGTTAGGAGTTGCTGGATTTTATTAGTCGGCTTGTAGATAGTCATGACATTGTGTTTCTGCAGCAACCTTCCTATTCTACTCGTAATGCCTTTAATGTATGGTAGGAAGGAGACTCCCGTAGGTGATTCCTTGTCTCCTGCCGGCGGTCTGCTTTTTGTCGTGAAACTAATTTAAATATTTAGAATTTCAATATGTAAAAAGTCCCATTAATTTGTTTTGTTTTTTTGTACGCTATAGATTCATTTTGTGCTTGCTAACAGATCTTTTATTTAGAAAGTCCATTTGCATACAAAAACAAAATAAGTTTTACTAGATTCACACCCGATTCATTATTGCCAGCGTCGCAGACTAATACAAAAATGTCACTTGCTGATCAGCTGTTCACCTCAGTAGACTCGTGAAATAGGGTATAAACTGTACACCATTCCCTTAAAAGAGCAACTTTAATATGTGGCTCGAAATTAGGACACCCTGTAGAGTCGTAAATATTTTAGAAATGTGCCCCCAGTTACCATATATAATTATATATAACCGTAATTGGTTTTCTTTGAAAAGTTTTTGTTTGAGAGCAGTGCTCCGTCCTCGTGCGGTTGGAACACCCTGTATATATTTGCCCTTAGCTCCTCTTAATCCAGCCTTGTCACAAAATCAGTTCTGAGCTATGCTTCTGCATGTTATAAGCAACCAGGAAAGATAATATCATCTAGGAGATGTAATAATAAACAACATTCACTTTTTGAGTCAGCAGATACTAAAATAATGTCTAGAATCAAAAGCAAGCATACTATAAATTTACAAAATCAGCTTACGACAAAGGGTCGAGTCACGAAATTCAAACACTTTCATTGTTTGGTGTCAGTCAGATATCTGTCAGGAGGACACTGACAAATCAAACGATATTAAATCGATGCTGACATGAAATGCTGAGTTGCTTCCATTACCTGAACACTTTTTTAAGTTATTTATCAACTGAAATTGTTTGTGTTAAGTACCCTTACAATATGTGAACTAATAGATAAAATGCATATTCACACTTATCACAGGCGTGTTTATTTTCTGTTCAAAACTGACCTTATGAACTATCCAGAAGCCCCCACAGAAACACTTCTGATGAAAATGTTTTGTTTAATAGTAATGTTTTATCAGTGCAAAGTCTCCTCACACGATACACAATGAAATTACAGTTATCAGTATAATGTAGTTAACAGAATGTTAAAAATAGAAATACAAAGAATTGTACAATATATCAAAGTGATTTTTAATATGAAGTGTGACCACTATCACTGCCAAAATAAAAACATTTTTGATTTCCTTCCAATGACCTAAATAATTTTTTTTCACACGTGCCTTTTTATAGCAATAATTTGTGCTTCTTACATACATAATTATATAGAAATAAAATTATTATAATTATGTTAATGATAGTGTTAGTCTAAACATGAAATGTTGGTAAATGTAAAACAAACATTTTTTTTGTAACTGAAACTCATCTCAAAATCCAAAAAATAAATGTTCTTTTTCCATTAGAGGTGCAGCCAAATGAGAAAATAATATAAGACACAAAAGCTTGGCCTTGAGATGGAAAATTAAAGAATTTGAGAATAATGAACTATAGGAAACAGGACAGGGTAAAATGGGAGGAAGTCTCAATACTACACAATGAGGATAGGCAATTACAAAAGAAAGGTGTAAGAATCAGCCTATACTAAATTAACCCTGCGTCAGTCGTGCAATCTAAAATTACATGAGCGGTCGCATCGCGGCACTGAGTGCGGCATCTGGACAATGACTTATTTTGTATTATTATAGAGAAAACATTGACTAATAAGTTTGTAATTAAACAGAATAGACTTTTAAAAAATCAGTTTATTTATAATATTGCGCTCTTATTTATTTAAACATTCAAAACTAAAACATTATTCTATAGCGAACATAAAAGATAAACACTGAATTTTTAAAGTGAAAATGGTAACATAGCCACCAAGAGACTTAATTCTAAAATAAATCAGTCTTCCTCCATCGGGGTATACCAACAAGTATCACATTGAACTGTTTTTTTGCAATGGCTTTTACATACAAGCTGATAACATGAGTCACATCTAACAGTAGTTTAATTATTTTTATGCGCACTACAAACATGACAACGTCCACTACCATTTTGCTTTATTGCAGGTACCTGGAAGTGTAATTATTTTCGCCCGTTCCGCCATATGATGTTCCATTAGAGACACGCCTAATTCGTTTAAGAATTTTCGTCTTCTAGGAGACTCTTCTGTAGGTTTAGTATTATTGAATCCAATTTCAGCGTTTATCCCAGTAACATCAAGAATGCGGAAAAATATTGCAAGGGGCCATCGTCTAGTGGTTCTCTGGGTTGTATAAGTGGCACATTTTTGATCGACAGTATCGACACCACTCTTCGTCCTGTTATAATCCAAAATGATGGTTGGCTTATTTGTTGCCTCGTCAACCTCTCCTTTGTCATCAACAGAAGAAAGAATTATCACAGCCTTATTCTTTTTGGGTACGTAAGATACCAAATTAATTTCGTCCTGAAATCCGAATAATGAAGAACCAACTATTCGTGCTTTATTCGGAAGGAATTCCGAGGGTATTACCTTTTTATTTTTCTTTATTGTACCTATTAACGTAAGGCCATTTTGCAAAAGATAATCTGCTAGGGGATAGCTCGTATAATAATTATCTGTTGTCAGGTTTCTCTTGGAATTTTTTAAAGGGTCTACCAACCTTCGAACTATATCGAATGGCTTATTACTTGTCTGAAAGGGACCATCTCGTTGATGCCCACAATAAATCTCAAGATTCCAAGTATAATAGGTGCGACTATCACACAAAGCATATATTTTTATACCGTATTTTGGCGGCTTTTGCGGCATATATTGCACGAACCCACATCGCCCCCGAAACGGATGAAGCATTTCATCAATGGTAATGAATTCCCCAGGGATGTAATTATTCATACAATTCTTTACAAAATCGGAGTAAATATCCCGTATTGCAGCTAATTTATCTATATTTTGGCGTTCTGTCCTGGTGTTGATATTGTCAAATCGTAAAGGAATAAAAAACTTCTGTAACTAAAAGCAGCCCGAAGTCTAATCATTCCAGTTCCATCTGTACTCCACAGTTCTCGCACATCTACACGATTTCCTTTCTTTACTGCAATTATATATAACGCGCCGACTAATGCCTGGATCTCCGTGGACGAAGTTATTTTGCAATCTCTATCTCTTGCAAAATTTTGTTTTTTCGCAGCTCCTTTTGAACCTGGTAATATCTTGATTATATTTTTAGACCTAGTTTTACTGGTAAAACTCACAGGAGTGCTTTTCCAAACATTCTCTTCGTCCTTTCCAATGTAAAAGAACTTATCTCCTTGATTCTCCAATTCGTGTGTATAGTCCGAGTCCTCAACGGCAGATTGCTCAGATTCGCTGTCGTAAACATTGTACTGAATAACTTCTTCTTCTCCTTTGCTTTCATCTGCAAAGTCTACTATATCCTCATCGAAATCAGAGAAATTGTCGACGATCTCTTGCAGCTCTGGTTCAGTGAGTGGTCTCTTTTTATCCCTAAAATATCAAAGATTATATATTATATAATGGTTTTGTAATATATTTTAGCGATATCTATATCAAACTAATAACCAAACATAATACTCACATGATCGGTCGCGTGGCGGCACGGAGTACCGCAAACTGCGCCTTCTCACTAAAAGTCTCGATTTACACTAAAAGGAAGCATTTCCATCTCCGTTCCCGTAGGTACACGTTGCAAAATATAGCCAACGAAGCATACCTCGGGAGACAGTGGCGTGCTTCGAAAAATTATTCAGTAACTAGAATAAATTAAAAAAACGCGGCACGGAGTACCGCAGCGCGACCGCCGAAGGGTTAAACAACAATTTTATTGTCTTTCTAGTTCTTCTGTGGACTGTGACCCAACTAGTGAACCATAAGTTTTTTATCCAGGTTTTTTCTCTTGCTTTATTATTGGATCTGAAAGACGCAGATGTTTTACTATGCCATCTCAAGGCCAAATTGTTGTGTCTCATATTATTTTCCCTCGGGACAAACAACGTGGTTTCCCCTAAATGTCGAAGTACATACTATTTGTAGTGTTTAAGATCCATAAACAACACATTTGTAACATTTTAGTCAAAGATTGCATAACGATTAACCAGTGTGTTGCGACAACAGTTCTGGGTGAGTTTTCGCGTTTTTTGAAGGGTTTTTATCATTTTTGAAACGATGGTCGAGGGTGACTTATCTGGTAGATTAAAAAACAGATAACCTCATGCTCGCTTGTCCTTTTGGACGGCTGAACGTCCTCATGGGAGCGGGAATACCCACCCCAGGCGGACCTGGACTGGAATGTGGAAATAAAAATAAAAAACAAACGAAGTGTCACCTGGATGACAGATAAATAAAATAGTCAAAAAAGTCATTTTTGTACAAAAGAAGGTCCCCATGGGACCTTAAAATTTACAATAAAAAAGAATTTTAAATACATAGGGTTTGATTGGATAAACATGGGAGATTAACTTGTAGGTTATCCCATAGCTATTTGATTTACAGAGTCCTACGCGGTATATTACACGATTTATTTTAGTAAAAAAAAAAATTCTAACCATAGTTACCTAGATGGCCTCCCCTTGAACCTAAAATTAGATAACTGTTCAATAGAAATTTTTAGTTACAGGCAAAACAATTCTAAAAACAGTAAGTATATTTGAAACATACTTATTATCATTTTGAACAATGTTCGTGGGTCCTTCGCCGCGCGGTACCTGCACAGCCGGACAGGTTGGTGTGAGAAAGAGACATCTTGCCTCAATGAATTAGTACTAGAGCAAGGTGGGAGTATTTTATGGTTTTTTGTATTGTTACTAAATAAATAGTTTTAAAGCTTTACAGTAGGATTTACGATTTCTGTGGTCTGTTTTTCTGAGTAGCTTGACGAAAATTGCCATTTACCAGACTCTGATTGCGACTCAGTCTGGACTACTGTTTGGAACTCTCAATTAACTGGCTACTCATACCGACTTTGATTCCAGTGACCTGGAACTACTTTTTTTTAATTACGCATCTGAAGACCAAAGCTTCATGTGATGCTGCAAATTGAGAGAGTGATGACTATGAAGAAATGCACTTTTATTAAGATATTTAAAATGAAATTGTTTGTAGGTAGTAAGATTATACTGGAAACAGGTAGAACAAAGTGGTGGTCGTGTCCCGAGAGATGGCCTGATCGCACAATTTATACAGTTCGACATGCTTAGATGGAAGGTCGAGTATCTGGTACCAGACTAGGGTCTATTTGTAATGCCACCGGAAGGGATGATAGAAGCGGTAATAGAGGAAATTGAATGTGAGAAGCATCAGAGCCATCCCTTCCATATCCAAAGATTACAGAATTAAAACCTGAGGATTACTCACAACGAGTGATAGTCTGCCAGGATATGTTGCAGTGCCAACAAGAAAATGAACACTTTTCCAGTAAATTTTGTGGTCTGAGATATCCATATTAGCGATACCATTTGTGGTCTATTGAAAGTCTAAATATGTTGCAACTACCCAATTTCTGAGAACAATTGAGCATAGGCGATAAACATTTTAATTCCCAATACCAGCTGTGTGTTGAATATGGTGGTGATTTTAAAAACATTATGTAAAAGATTCGGAGATCAGTGAATAGAACATTTTATTTATGAGACACTTTTTTTCCTAGTAGATTTAAGATACTTTAATGAAATTTTTATAGTTAACATCTGATACAGTAAAGAGGTTTTTAAAATACTAATGAAAGAGAAACATTTTTTCTGTTCTTAAAAAAGTTATTGGATGTTTTTGTTATGTTTTTTTTACTTTAAAATATATTAATTACTTGATCTAATTGTGCTCATGTTAGTTAAGCTTTAAGTTTTAGCTAAATCATAAAAATGCAGACATTTATCTAATTTTTTTTTGAAGTTATGAAAAAAATAAGCTTAGACCTTTTTAAAAAATTCTTGAAAATCAGAATAAAAATCATAACACCCAAATGAAATATACATGAGAGTGATTTGGACTAACCAGGGGTGCCCTACCTCTGGGCTACAGCTTATCACTATTTTTCAGGACACCATGTACCTATATCATGTCTGATGATGAATACATATTAATCACAATAAATACTGCATGTGTACCAATCTGTTAGGGGACATCATCTGTGATGAGACTTGTATAAATCACAAAAAATGTGCTGCCAAGTGTTAAGACATGCCTCTACAAAACAAAAAATGTTTGTCCTTTGAAAAACGGTTGTGAATTTGTGTACACAATCTGATTACTCAGACTTAATAATCGTAATTAAGTAAATGACAGTAAACTTACAGCAGTATTTCTAGCACAAGCAGTCACATAATCCTGGCCTTTAACAAGCTTCACAAAAGCACATGTTGGAAACCATCTAGCATGTTCAGTCCAAGGATCATCATGTGGATCCCAATGCTTTAGCCCTCCATCACAATGAAAGCATCTAACTTGATCCCTTATACCTTCATAATAAAACCCAGCTTGTGCTAAAAGTTCAGGAGTCTGAATCAATTCTGAAGACCAACCAATAAATGAACGTAATCTTGACTCTACAGTTGAAAAGTCTGACCTCTTTGGCCCTTTATGAGTCTGTATTCCCAGTTCATCCAAGTTCTGATCATTCTGGACAAGTTGAGCATTTGTAAAAGGTTTTTTATAAAATGCAACAGGTCCACATCTTTTGTTGATCACACTAGTTACATATGGACAATTGGGAAAATGTCTTTTATGCTCATGATCTGGATTATCACCTTGCTCCCATGCCCGAACTACTCCTTTGCAGAAAGCACATTTTGTATTGTCACCATCTCCCAAGTAAAAGAAACCAGCATTTGCCAGACTTTCAGGAGACACTACATTTGATGAGGGCCAGTTTTCGAATGATGCTAGTCTTGCTTCCACTGACTCGCTGTAAGGATCAGACGAGCTCGTAGGTACACTAAAGGTGGAAAGTATCGGGATATTCCCTGAGGTAATTGGATTAGTTACAAAAGGGCATGTAGAACTCAAAGCAGCATGTCTCGCCATTACTTGATCTCCATAGTTCCATTCAGATATTTTCAAATGGCATGCAAAGCACTCTACTTCCAAACCTTGTTTTGTAGCAAAGAATCCTGCTTTTGCTATTCTCTGGGGGTTTACCTCAGCATGAGCTGGCCATTCATTGAACGTCTGCAATCTGTTTATTTCTATGTTCATTTTTGGTACAGCTGGTTTCTACTTTCTAGCACTCGGAACGCCTTCTTCAGACCACCTTATTAGTAATACTGAAAGTAATTAAATTGTGGTAACATTTCCTTACTTCTATTATCATTTTCAAAATAAATTATGGAATTTTGATAATCGATTTTGACCTTCAGGAGGAACACGAACACGCACACTGAGGAACACGGAACCGCAACCGATCATTGATGACATGCACATGACATGGAAGCATAGTACATGGAACGCTCAAAACGCTTGACAGTTGACAATGTCGAATTTGAAATGAAACCTGAGAAATGAGTCATCATGGATTTTCTTTCGAAAATCACCTCGGCATTGATGATGGTAACATGTTTTTTGCTGTATTTTGTAACAGGAATAGGCGATTTCTTTTTGTAAGAGCTTCTATAGTTCAAAACTGTTGACAGCAATGGAATGCGAGGAATATTGCCGACTTCTTTGAAGAGAGACCCCCCACAGTGGCGCTACGATTTCCATTTCGGAAAGGGTTAAAAAGTAGAATTTACTTCAACATTTTGCAACTCTTGTCATCATTAAACAGAAGTAGCTAGAGCAGCGAACTGTAACTGATTAATATAAGGAAAAACGGATTAATTTGTCAGAACGCTAATGCAGCTCTCAGCTAGCCCATGTTCGGGTTGGTGACTGCATATCGAGTTCCGTCCCTCCCTCCTCCCGTCTCTCAGATTCAACAAAATTAAAAATAAATGTGATTAATCTCTAAAACCTAAAAATACAAATATATACAAAAATAAAAAGTTTTGAAACTGAAAGACGCACAAAAATTAAGCAATAAATTCTGATTATTCAAAAATTAAAAACAAATATAAAACGTCTATGAATAATAAATAAATATTCAATTGAACAAATGGTAGTCAGCTGCGCTGCAGTTTTATGACACACCATTTTTCGAACAGGAAGTGTCACTGTCACCGCCATCTTAAAAGTAGTATTACTACGCGCTACCTCGTTTCTTATTTGAGCCCATATCAACTCGATTGGGTTGAATTCGCAGTGGTGAATCCTTTGTCCTTTGTTATTCCTTGTGCTGACGAGCGATTTGCATCAACTCTGCTTTGAACGTCGATAGGTCGCATGGTCTATTTTTTGATACTAGCCAAATATAAATTTCTAAAACTGCTTTGAACTAATCTTCTAAAACTTGTGCGTGCATATCTTCATGATAATTTCCAATACTTCGTGATTCGAAGACGTCTGACTGTCTGACCTTCATTCAACCATGCCTCATCCAAATAATACGAGTAAATATTCTGTTTTCCCATTACGCGAATACTGCGTATTGTTTTCAGATATTCCCTGCGCCAGGTTATTATGGCATCCCTTTCGATCAATGCGCTATTCCTCTTCTCCTTCAAATATCTCGTAAAGTTCTTAGCAAAACACGCTGGGATATTTTTGTTAGGATGTCGTCAGTATTCAAAGCGTGCTGTAGTATACTTATTGTCGGTATTTCTCTTCTCAAATAAAACGAGTTCAGCTTCCGACGGATTGCATATTTAACATCATAATTTAAAACTACTTGTTTTGACTTTTTGCTACTACCGACATTACGTTTTTTTTTCCTTATAATCCTTAAAATCGTAGATAGTGATACCTTTGTCATATCGCTACAAAGTCTAACGATATGTTCGGAGTACGTCATAAACGCATAAAATTATGGGGTAGACTATCCGTTGCGTGGTGATCCATCTTTCGTAATCAGTGAATTTTCCACAGTTCCCAGCTCTCCTCCTTTCCGTTATCCTCGCCGCAGCTGACTGAAGAAAAAGTTGCTCGTGAACTTTTCATTTGTACGTCTGCAAAATGTCTGACGATGGTGCCGCGTCTTGAGGGGCCACTTAGATTTTAAGATTTGTAGATACTAATTGTTTACCCGTCTCATCCAGCGATAGTAAACAATAATATCAGTGATGTTTTTTCAGATCACACTGTTGCTGTTATTGTGCGCGTCGTGCGTCTAACGAAAGTCAGAGCTAAAGCCTGACTTTTGATAGATATCGCTTGAAAAATGTGTTATAAGTCATAAATGCAGGTTTAACGCTGTACTGTCGTTAGATGAATACATTATTATTATTTCATTATTATCAAGACTCAAACTGGTATCTGGTAATAGACTCTTTTGGAATTACACGCACAAATCAACATTCTTTTTTTCGGAAGTCGTAAATATTTGCGGAATACTCAACATGTGTCAATTAATTTTGAAACTTGTAGTCGGTTGCTATGTTAGATATAGTCGTAGTCAGCGTTCTTGGCGGTTACATCATCAACGTCATATGAAATAAGTAGGCAGATCGAGTCTCCGTACCACACAACTAAAGAACGTATGTCTTTCAGCTTACCGAACAACCCTTCACACACAGGGGTAGGCTGCATGTGTATGTATGAGGGAGATAGGGATATATAAAGGGATATTGGTAGTCTTACTTTCACCCGCCAAGAACGGTGACGACAACTATATTTCTATAATCCTCGCACACATTTGCCTATCAACTTATACCAACAAAAGGCGTTTACCAAAACTTTTATTTACCACCTAACTTACTTCACTTTATATGTATAAATAATTGGTTTGTTCGTACAGTGGTCGGTGACTGTGTCTGAGATCCGGCCATGTGAATTCTGTCTAAACAGCGTAGCAGATTGAATGGAATTTGTGCGGCGGGATCTTGGTCACAATCACTGACAGGTTGGTGACAGCTGTACGAACAGGGTTGTTAGGTATGTAATAATCAAATTCAAGCGGATAACCAAATGGAAATGGTATTTACCATTTTGGGTTGGTATTTACCAATCCGTTCAAGCGAGTGTAGTTATCAGTTTGGTTATAAGATCCGTGACGTCACGAATCAGCTGTTATATGTCATAGTTATCACCGCAAAATTGTGGTATTTACCCAACTCAAGAGTAGTTTTATATTTCTGGTTATTATTTGAAATGTGACAAGTTAGAATTTTTCCGGGTATTGGATATTTTTATTGTACTTCAGCTTCATTTTTGAGAAAAATGATACAGGCTGACTTCAGTTTTACCATAAAGTGGAGCACCTTGTTAGTTATACTCATTACGGTTGTTGGGGACACTTTAAATCTAGTTCCTATCCTTAACAAAGTATCCTGTGTAGCCATATACAAGAAGAATATTAAAATATGGCCATATAAACTCACTAGATGATATCCACCTGTATACGGTTTTTCTAATTTCTTTTTTCATCATTTCTGCTGAATCAATAAATGTTTTATTTGACATGCAAAAAATTTTAGAGAATTGAAAGTTATCATAGCTACAAAGCCATGGCTCCATCATTAAAAAAAAATCTGTAAAAAACATTTCGCCCATGAATATTATGAAAGGTTTCTTATTTAAACTTTCCATATACAGTTCTAGACGAAAAAGCACCGCTTATTAAGTGATAATAAAAATAATCAGAGATTATATACGCGCTTTTCTAAAATAAACAACTTGCAACAAAACCGCGGTTAAAACCAACGCGTTCAAGCGATTCGTGTAACTGACGTCATCAACCCGTGTGTCATCTTGAACCATCTTATAACCGCGGCACATAACACAGAAATTTTGGTTATTCGCTTGGATTTGATTTATGTAATCATCTAGTAAATTAGATCACCTCTTCACTTTAAACTATGCTTTTGATCACTACTTTTTTCTACATACCACATGATTTCTAATTGGTCTAGGAGTGCCGCTAGCACCAAAATTCATTTGACAACGTATTTATAAGCACGGTATTTGTGATTTCAAGGAGTCCCTGTTGTCGGCTGTGCGCGGTATGCTGGGTTTGTGTGATTTATTCAATAGGCGAAACTCAATATTAAATTAAGGATTTAATTTGTTATTTTCCTTTAATCATAAAAGAGATGTGATAGATGGGAATCAGAATTGTGATCAGAACCAAAGGATTTAGAACGGCAGGGGTATTACGTAACTTGAAAAGTATCCATGCCGCAGCGTTATTAGGTAAAAACCCTATATTAGCCATAACTCAAAATAGTTCGGACATTATCTAATTTTATCTTAAAGTTTGTTTATTTTTTTAAGGTTTCAAAATATTTTTTTTGTAAGTCACTGTATGTATTGTTTCGACATCATATTAACGAAATTATCAAATAATATGATATTAAACTATAAAACTAAATTAATATTGATAACAATGCAATAATTGGCTGACAGTTAAATATGTTCGGACGAACCTTTTCAATAGCTTGTTAAGACTCCCGCCTTTGCCTTAATAACAGTATTAATTCTGGCTTGCATAGTTTGAACAAGGTTTTCGCAGTCTTCCGCCTTAAAAGAATGTATTTTGAAGTCTTACTCGTAAATCAGAAATATTTCATTGTGGATCATTTCTTAACTGCTGCTACATTTTGCGTCATACAGTTTCGATAATATATATTTAAATCACGACTACTGGAAGACCAGTCAAGGACGGAAATATTATTATCCTGCAACCATTTTTTCGTGGTTTTGGCCGTATATGATGCCTCATCTTGTTGAAAAATAAATGTTTCTATCAGGTGATAAAATTGGAACTGACACTAGCAAAGGCAGACATGCTTCTCCATCAAACCTGATGGAAACAATACTTTTCTACTTATTCAGACAGTCTTTATGGAACGCTTCATTTTTGTTTCTTATCACTCGGGATCTGTGGTCACCAACACAAGCATCAAAGGACCCGGCAACACGCCTATGGGAAAAGTCTATATATCTGAGCATCCTGAACAAATGTTTCAATGGCCACAGGCCCCCAACTTAAACGGGTCCCAAGATATAGGCAGTGCAAGTCGGTATCGGTTATACTCGAATATATGCTTTAAGTGAAAGAGTGGTTTCGGTCAATGCCGCTGAATGTTGTATATGCAATATGTCATGGCGTCCTTAAAGAATGTCTTGATGGACACAGGCCCCAAAACTGAAACGAGTTTCATGATATAGGGCGTCCAAGTCAGTATAATGAATCGGTTATACTGGTATATATATATATAATATATATATATATATATATATATATAACAAGTAGGAAAATAATGGGCAAAATCCGAAAAAAGGAGGAAAGTGGATTCGAGCAGAAAATAGGATAGGTAACCCGAGCGATACGTATTTCTGCTGGTTGGCTTCGGGGTATCTGCAATTTTTGGGCATATTGGGTTATTGTGTTCTTGGGATCGTTCAACCAACGTAACGTGGTTGTCTACTCAAAGCTTTTTGGCGACATCATACAATATATTTTTTTAAACGTACACTTGTTTGTCGTATCTGTGCACACGAATCGGAGGTTCAAACTTTGGAGGCCTTTTTTTCGATTTTACGCTAGTAGATATCCCCTCTACACTTAGCACGTCAGTTTATTCTTTCGACAATCCATGACCCATGACAACAAACGTTTAGTTTTGAGTGTTGTTCCAGGATAAATTAAAAAAATGGCGTCAAGTATGTTTCATGTGTCTGAGTAAACGTTTGTAGGCTCTGCTATCTTTGTTATATGGTTAGAGAAAGAGTATTTACTTTTTTATTCTGAAATAGTCGTGGACAACCTGGTATTATTTGCTTGAGGGAATGCTACTAAAAATAGATGAGATTCTTCATTCCACAAAATATCTCCATATAAGAGCAAGAAGCGCCTGCATAACTACAGCCCTAATGTTGTCGCCTTATCTGACTGTATTCTGTAAATTATATTGCCTCAATCTCAGTCTAAAAATATATTTTTAGTCTGAGGCCTCAATAGTCGCAATTGTTAGCTGGAGCATCATCGACCTCATCCCAGGTGTCCAGGTAAGATTCATGCAGTAGAAGTTAAAAATTTGCTACACGCTCTCCCGCCCGCCCAACTTTTTACCCCTAAAAAAATTTCAAAAACGATCTAGATCCTATGAAACGTCAAAAAACGAAGCTTGAGATGTACTTCTCAAGTTATAGACGCCTCAAGGATTGGCGGACAGACAGATGACCGACGGAAATGACTGCCATGGTTTTTCATGATGTACAGTAGTAGTAGAACTGGTGGGGAGGCGAAGCCTCACAATTAGTAGGCCGCTTTTGACCCTTTTTTCCGATCCCGTAGTGCCAACACTTCACTACTCCACAAGCTATCTACTGGAAACTGGTAATGAACCAGCTCAAGCGATGAGATGCACCTGTTAATATTGCACTCACTTGCGTGATATAGATGACAACATCCATGACAAGTAATTAACTTCCGAGACGGAGATTCGAACCCGTGAGCCCCGGGTTGCTAGCTCGACGTGCTAACCATCGAGCTTCCCAGGCTCCTTTCATAATGTACATGTCATATAACATTCAAAAACATATCTCATTTCCGAAATCTTTCGCGATCACAATACTTTCTCGCCGTATCGCGGGAAGTAAAAATGTCATTCTTTTGGGTTATGTTCTGATGAATAGCTCAGGTTTTCGAACTCTAAAATAAGGCAGACATCCACTGATTTGACAGCCTCACCTCTGTTGGGAGTCTCACTTCGCTTGCAAAACCAACACAACTAATAAGTATGAACACCTGGATTGTTTTACATTACAATTCAATGCAAACAGTCCATTTAATACTTTGGTTACCATCCGATACCTATAGTCGTATCTTGTTTATCACAACAAATAGAAACTAAACACTACTACTTTATGGTTTCGGTGGTTTATTTGAAAAGCCCTTGATCTACTAATAGGCGATCATAAATATATTCTTTTTATTTCGTCATTTCCATCTTAGTTTTCCATAGACTCTACCAATGCTGATATGTAGTTGCATTTCATATATAACATTATCAGGTTGGTGTATGGTCTGGGACGATAAAATGCGGCGCCATTGTAGTCAGTGGTTATAAGAACAATAGACTGAAGAACATTCTACAGTTCAAATATTGCTATTGAAGATTCTTAAATCATCGTGAGTTCATAATACTACTTTGAATCGCGAGAATAGAAAATATCGATTCCATATACATGGTGACATAATGAAATTGGAACCTGACCAACAACAAAATTTCGACTTACGTATATATGTACCAAAAAAAGAATGTGGTTAATGAAAATGCCATATCAGCAGAAATTATATTTTCAGCAAACCGAATAACAACCCCGTTTTGTAGTTATAACCCATTTTCCAATATCAATGATTGTACTCATTTCTTATGTCTACACTTTCTAACAAATTGTTTTTTTACTAACGGCCCTATCGTCAGTCATTCCTACGATTGTAGGATGCCTGTATGGCCTTGATTTTCAGTTTTCTACTATTCCATGCCAGCGGTCTATTTTGAGGTTACGTCACAAATATCTATTTGCATCCAATTGTTCATGCTTTTGGTTTATATCATCTGTTTTATCAGCTTGATATTTCCTACAATTCAAAAAGAAAACACAACTTCACGATAAATAGGAGAGCGCTGACGCTGATACGGAACAGCAGAAATCTAGATATATGCCAGCCTTTCTGAAGGAGATGAGGACTATGAAAATGAAGGAGGCCATAAAGGCGTCCTACAATTGTAGGAACGACTGACGATACGGCCCTAATACTAATAATAAATTCTTGGAAAAACACCTCATTTACTTAAATAGTTATTTCCAATAGAAAATAAAGGAAACTTCTGTTTAGAATGTTCAAGGTGCACAAAGGCCCACAAAGACGAGCATGAAACATCTGACGGATGTCTAGTTCTGCCAACTAGAATTTTTAGATTCCGTCATTCAATGATAGCAGTGATTTATTAGATAGACGAATAGAGGAAAGCAAATAAAAATGGCAAATTTCATAAATTATTATATTGTACTCATATTTACGTAACATACACACAAACATATACTTAATTTGTCGTATCAGTTTTACAGTAAAACCCATAGTACGTGCACCTCTTAGTTGCAACTGATCACTAATTGGTTGTTAGGTTGTTGAAATAATTTACAGTCACTAATCTATAAAAGAGTGTATCTTTCTAAAAAATAAGCGCTTCAGTTGTTGATAAAAAAAGTAAAAGCGTGTCGTGTGAGACTTAAAAACTAGGTAAATTAAGTTTGTACTCAAACTGTATAAAAATATATTTCTTGAAATTTGAAAATACTAAGTTTTAAATTCCGTTTCTCTTTCTCCTGACTAGAAAAACTACGATAGGAACGCTCGAACAGTGGCTTCTAAAGGTTTTCTGCAGACCGCGCAGCTTTTCAGTGCTGCAGCGCAGTCCACGCAAGCGATGATATGTCCGCAAGGTAGGAAAACAACGCCTAGTTCGTTCTTAAAACATATCTTACATAAAGTCTTCTCCGCCGCGCTCGCCTCCTCGTCCTTTAAATTAAAAAAAAACATTTTTTACTTCCCATCATTACAAAATGGTGCAAATCTAATCATGTATGAGCACACTAAATCCGAAAATCACTTTCCAGTGAAAAGATGATTTCCACAAATGTAATTTTCATTACCATTAGGGCTATATCATAAAATAACCATGCTGAGCGTGTGTTGGTACTGTAGTGCAGGTAAAGAGACAAAATTGTTCCGAGATCAGATTATTTATAACCAACTTCTCAGATCCCCCTTGATCCACCTGAAGATTCCCGAAAGCTTCTGTCAACATGTGATGGATAACCATACTGCAGTAGCTGAATTTAACTTAATATGAAATGGCCCTGGTGTATTCGAAGGAGTGTTGCACTACATTTGAACTAGACGTAGTTATACTGAGTTTTTGTTGAAAGAAAATAACATGTAATTTTGGTAATACAAAATGATGTTTTCGAAAACTTTTAGCCCCGAGTTCTCGAGAAAAATTGTTTTTTTTGTAAATCACTTAAGGACAAGTTAGCCTTGGAATAGCCAACATAACTCCCTGAATGTTAGCTTTATATGAAATATCGAGATACTATCGAATATTCGTTGAATAGTGACAAGATTCTGTTTCCCTTGAAATAACTTCCGGCGTTTCGACACGTCAACCCACGGCTATTTATCATCAAACTATAGTGGAAACTCACCTTCTCAGACGTGTCACTCTTCACCGCGGACACGGAAGCCGTCGGTTCATCTTTGGTTTGAGAGCTGCTGGTGGCAGGCTGATGGGCCTCCTCTTTTTTCTTGATTTTCTCGATGTAGTCTTTACCCTTCTTTAGGTTCAGATAGACGCATTTACTAAACCACAGCGCGTGCTGTTCCCATGGATCATCGTTATCTTCCCAGTCTTTAAGCCCCCCTCCACAATAGAAGCACAGGGTTTGGTCGCCTACACCGGTGTAAAAGAATCCGGCTTCCGCCAAGTCTACGGGTTTCTGCTTTATTGACTTCGGCCAACTGTCGAATGTGGCTAGTCTACTTTCATATGTTATTTTATCGTTATACTGGGGGCCTTTACTTTTTTGGATACCTGTAACAAATGATGATTGGTGAATCCCAACAGAATTTTCTGGAATGTATTGGTGATTGATAGGAAACCTTGCACTAGAAAAATGTACATTATGTTAAAAAGCACCAACTAGAATAATGTAATACTGATAATAAATAATTGCTAAGTTCCTAATGATATAGAAAATTGAAGACTTGAATCATTCTGAGATAAGATGAGCATCTGACTAAAGATGTGTAGAACATTGAGAATATTTTCTTGGAAATCAAACAGTAAATTGATAGCTAGTGGATATGGCTGTACTTTTAAAAGACAAGATATATGGGATTCAAACATTCATTCACTCCTGTAAAACTCCAAGAATCATTGGAATGAGAGAGGCTGAGATTTTTAAATGCAAAAAACATAAGCAGCATATTGAAGCCACTAAGTATCATGTGGATGACATCTCCAGCAAAATCTAATTCAATTGAATAATCCTGGGGTTAAAACAACTATAGCAGTAACTTTCTCTGATTATCTCCAGTTTGTCTGATGGTACTGTGAGTATATATATATATATATATATATATATATATATATATATATATATATATATATATATATATATATATATATATATATATATATATGTACAGGGTGTCCGCAAAGTTGGGGTTTTCGTTTTCAGAAACAACTACCCTTGAAATAACAAAGGTAATGTGTAGTGAAACGAGGGCGACCAAGTAAAAAAAAATAAAGGAGAACGAGAAGGGCTAAGTACGTCTCTGTCCGAAATCATACCGCTTCAACAGAAAATGAAATCAGCTGAAGCGCTACCGAGCAGACGCAGAAACCACATTGATTGTCTTACACTTAATGGCACATCTAACAAGGAAGGCAAAATGTTGCGGAAAAAGTCTAGGTATTGCATCCCGTCCAATCGATTTGGGAGAATAAATGGACCAATGAGCATACCGTTCACCATGCCAGCCCAAACATTCACCGAAAATGTTTGTTGAAAATGTGCCCGACGGACAGCGTGCGGTTTTTCTACTGACCAAACATGAGTGTTGCGAAAGTTATTCACCCCATTACGCGTGAACGTAGATTTGTCTGTCACCAATATGCACTTCAAAAAGTCCGGATTATTGTCATGTTGATGCAACATCCACTCACAAAACCGCACTCTTGCTGGAAAATCGTCAGGTTGAAGGGCTTGTACACGTTGGACGTGAAACGGATACAGCCCCTCTTCACGCAGCGTTTGCCACACTTTAGTTTTTGATACTTGCACTTCTCTAGCCACGTCTCTAGTGCTTGTTGAGGGATTCTCGTCTACGCGATTACCTCTACATGCGTGACCGTAACCGTTGGTTGACGGTTGCATACTGACCTGACACACTGACCCCGACCCAGTTCTGCCGTCGGGTTGAGACCTTGTACCAATCGGTGATGTCCCGGGTCGCGGCTACAGGACGGTATTCAGATATTTTTGATGTTGCAGAGCCCTTTATCTCGGTTCCCTTAAGACATTGGTGTATATGGTACTAAGAAAAATTGCTTATGTTTTCAAGATCTACACATCGTGTAAAGGAAAACCCTAACTTTGCGGACACCCTGTATATATATATATATATATATGTATATAGGACACGAATTCTTCAAAAATAGTTGCACTAGAAATGGAGAAGAATAAGCACAAATCATTATAAAATGATTTGATTTTTCAAAGCTGCGATCTGGAAAAAATCTGAGGATCCAAGGTACTTGTAATCAAACAAAAAGTATTGTTATTGGAAAATATCAACTTACCTAATTTACTCAAGTCTAAATTGATATTTCCTTCTGGTACAGAGTTGGGCAGTACTTCCACTCCATACAGTCCACATGTATCTTCTGTCCTACTTTCGGAATGGTCGTGTTCAATGTTAGACATCAAAAATGTACAATTGGGACTCCAGACTCTATGATCTGCCATAGGATTATCATCCGACAACCAATGGTACCCCTCTATATTACAGAAAGGACATACGACGATATCATCTTCGCCCTTATAGATGAACCCTGCTTCTGCTAAACTCTTGCTGGATATCTGTTTATTGGGCCAATTATCAAAGGTTTTCAGTCTATCTTCTAGAGATGAGTACAGCACATGTGGATCTGGTGAATCTGGAGTATGCTGATCTTTCTTAGAGCCGTTGTCTGTTTGATCTAGATAAGATCTCAATGGATGAATACAAATGTTGGACATTTTCAGTTTGTCGATGAGAAGATGGACCTGTAACAAAAATGCAAATATTACTGTTTGTGACTCTTTGATAGTCCTGACAACTACAAGCTAGATTACTTTCTCACTACTGAAAAATGGTACGGACGAGAGTTTTGTAAATATTACTCATGTATTCAGTCAAAATGCAGGTGCATAAAACCAGCGCCAAATAAAACATCACAGCAGAAATCAAGCAAAACGTTTGTAACCTCTTTCAGAACTGCGGTCTAACGCCACTATAGCAAAGATGAATCATGGAGACACCTCCAGAATAATTTATTTTCTAAAACTGGATAATCAAAATTTTTTGAACTACAGCTGACTATCCCATGTTTCTTAGTATTCAAAACACAAAAAGATGCTGAAATATTTCAAGTTCCTAGTCACACATACTGATCAGTCTTGAAAACACATTTTGGGATATCAGATATATTATCAGTCCTTGTAGCAAGTAGGTATAAAAAGCTTTTCTAAATGTCTGGGTTCTATTTTTGTTAATATTATATTATTTTGATGTGTTCTCATTTCTTAACACTGCTTATTTCCCACAATTTGTGTGAAGTCAAAATTTTGGCTACTGGATAACATAGAATCAGGCAATACAAAATAAAACTCACCATCAAGAAATGTGTAGCAGAAGTTGTACAATATTCACTTATAAAACTTGTGAAGCGTACATATACACTACTCACTTATAAAATCCTATCTTTACAACTAAAACGCTGCCTTTAGAATACTAGGGAGCTGTTCAATGCAGATAACATTTATATGCGGTTTTTAGCCTAGCTTTTTATGAATCATGTAACAGATCAAAGTTGACAGATTAATCTGTCAGTGAATAGTAAATAAATAGATTATTTTTGGCAGTATTTATTTTGCATAACAAAATGTCAGTCATCCATAACATGTTTTGATAAAAAAAGTAGCAAAGAAAAAATTATCATGTCTGGAAATAATACCCAAGGGCGTACTCAATGAAATTAACTTTAATCAACTACAAAGTCCATAGTTTGTTCCTGATTATGTAACCTAAAAATGTGTACTATTTTCACTTCCTATAAATAAGAAAAAAGAGGTGTAATTGCTATATTTTTATGTTTGATAATAAATGCATAAGAAAAAAATAGATAGGTAAAATTGCACTGACCATAGAGTAAAAAACCAATGAGAACTGCTCCTGACTTTGTCCAAGTTTGTGGTTATATGAAGATTATTAAGTGTAGCAAAACCTGTTTAATATCTCCATGTTTACTTAATTACTCCAAATTTGTTAAATTTTAAACATGGGGCGAGTTTATTTTATTGGTACGCTCATGATACTACAGCTAATGTCATATAATTATATTTTTAGAAACATTTGTTTAATTTTGATAAAAGGAGTCGTCATCATGTAGGTACATATTAGGGTTTATATTTACTGTACAAACTTTGACTGTGGCAACATATTACAAATATAGATCCTTTTTACTTTAGTCTTTTGTTCCACTGATCAAATAGATAAAACATTGCTATATTTAGATATTCTAGTAAAATTAGGTTTACCATAAACATGTTTCATGACTCATGTCAAAATAGATCACCTCCAATTCAACCACACGTTCTGAGCTCGAATGGTAGAGTAGTAATCTAATGGAATGCTGTGACAGTTGATAAAAAACATATGCGGTTGCTAACACCCAGTTTTTTAGTGTACCTATTCAATCGTTTTAAACTTTGACAAATCCATCACAACTACTTTAGTGGAAAAAGGCATTCAATATCAAGTCTATTTCCTATTTTTATGAGTCTTTATTTTTTATGGAATTACAGCATCCCATCCTAAACTTTGGAACCCGCTCATCATGGCTCGGACCTCATCAAACAACATGGGAGCTACATTTCTCCTTTCATGGAGAGTAATACATATGATTTTCACATTGACTCATCTAGGATCTCATTGAAGATCAGTCGCCCATATTCGTGTCAAATCATTTTGGACGCAAGTTTTTTTGAGTTAAAGATAGAAAGAGTTCATTCCCTGTAGCTACATGTATAGGTATGGCTGACGTCGGCATTACACTATAAAAGTTCTTTGACAAAGATACTTGATAAAAGAAGTTGGAAAAGGAATGTGGCAGTGTAATAGGAGGAAACTATAAAAGTTCTTTTACTATATTTAGCCTCTTCATCCTATTTTTGATAAAAGATTTTGCGTAGCTGTGTCAAGATGGGGAAAAACAGAGGGTATGTGGTGTACTGGAGGCTAGTGTAACACTCTCCGGTCGCTAGAAACCGCAATGTCACCATGAGCCGCTCCTCAGTGCTGATGGGGTTTCGTAAATTTGTCATCCTCATCCGTTCTCAAAAAGTTAACACAACTTCTCTGACAGTGCTTGGACCAAGTTATTGTAGATTCTCTTTACCCACAGTCGCCTCTTTTTCATTGTTAAAGCCACTACAATGGCTGCCGAAGTAAATCTAGCTATGGCAGCAACCTGAACGTCGTCGTCCATAGCTGTATTTGCGCTACCTTCTTAAAATAGTTTATAAAATCTTTTACGTAGTGTAACAGGCTGTTTGGCAACCATAACATTTCTTTTATGTATAAATTTAGTAAAAGTGATTTATAAAAGATCTTTGTCAAAGAACTTTTATAGTGCAATGCTGGTCTAACAGCAATTGGAAGGTATTTCACTTCTTTCATTTTTTTCCCAGCGTTCTAGAGTGTTTATGCTTAATTCCTAGTTCATCAGAAAAATTAGGGTTACAACACCCATAGGCACTGCTCAAAGTTTCAAATTTTAATCTAGTACTCTCTATTCAACAAATACACAAATAACTGTATACTGTATCATGAGATATCATTTTTCTTCTAATAGCATATATACATATATATTTCCAAATTTGTTGATTAACCTTATAAGTCATGTAGTTAGGGTACAGTTTCTCACAACAGTACAGCAAATTAAATAAATTTTTAGTTCTAAAAATTTAGATCCCCTTTGAAAAAATAATAATAATCATAATTTTTATCAAAGTTTTGATAACGCAGTTTGGTGAAAACAACAATCTAATATTATGTATTTATAACTTTTTTGTTTTTTTCTGGAGGATGTTATGTAATTTGAGAACCCAATCAACTGAAGATTTGAGAATGCAACCTTGACCTCCCTCAAAGTTAATGGATCAGCATTTTGTGACCAAACTAGTGATTATTTGTAGGTCTGGAAGAATAAGCAATAATTTTTGGGTCTGTGATGCTATAAGAATTCAAACCCACATACAATATTTACATCCTGTCATGAAAACTTGTTCTGCCATCATAAGAGGAATGAAAAGCAATCTTTCCAAGAGGATTGTCTCTTCAGCCGTTCTTTTCAGAACTTTTGATACTAAGATGGCAAATTTGTCACTTCAGTATCAATTTGTGGGTATTTGGGTGACCTAGCCAACAATCCTCATTCCTGTTTTGTGATGAAATAATGAGATTCCCTGACAGGAAAAAATTACATGATTGAATAGCAGGAAAACATACTTGTATGAGTTACAAATGTGAAGAGATGTATTTATTATTTCAATACACTTCAAAGAAGCCTGATTTCATAATAACGCCACCTTGGGCTGGCATGGAAAATTAGATTTAGTATTGGCGTTGAGAACAAACATAGAATATATCATACCTTTCCATGTGAACTGTAAGCTGAATAAAGCAAAGTGGAGACAAAATGTGTTTTAAACTGGTTTAAAAAACAAATAGAACAGAAATTTATTTTCCTCTCTATATATCAGTTGTACAAGATCTACCCTGGATATTCTATCCCAGAACCAAAGTTTTACTGTCAATTTTTACATGGATGCATTTAAAATTCTAATTATGCCATCTTGTAGAGGAGAAAAAGTGGCAGTGGCAATGTTAAAGTACATTTTATTTTGAAACTGAAAGAATAAAAAAGATTTTACGAAAATTAAAGTTTTTTCGTCTCTTCGGAAATAATTTTAATTCCGAAACGTTCTTAGTGCCATTTTCTTTGTTATCCAAACACGCAACTTTGTCCAATTGAAATATCTTACCGTGTCCAAGATCCTAATAGTGAGAGTAGAATTTGACACAGGCGAATAGTATATCTAGATTTATGTGTGTGACAAATACATCAAGCTGAGTATAAAAACAATTGTTATGTAGGATGGACGCATTCAGAGAAGGTCAGTACTACAGCACTCAATATCAATATCCATATGAGTCAAATGTCGACCGACATAAAGTGCTTTACCAAGCGCATCCATATAAAAATTGGCATTTAACTACGAGTTTGAAACTTTGGTTCTGGAATAGAAAATCCAAACTTGATCTTTTATCTTGAGGATGACAGGAAAGTTCATTTTTAGGAAAGAGAAATGAGAGAAATAGATTATGGCTTATTAATGGGGGTTTTTGGACCGGAAAACTCAAATTTGAAGTTGATAGAAACCATGAAATTTTTTTGTTTTTAATATTTTATAACGTACGTATTTTAAACGTTCATCTACAATTTTCTTTTGATTTTATTGATATATTGTTTTTTAAACTCAAGTTCGCAATTTTGGTATTTTTGTTCAAACTTCCCAAATATTAAAATATACAACTCAAGTATTTATATATATATATAGTTGGACCAGCGAAAGATTGCAAGCCGAAAGAATGCGGACAAAAAATTGCGAAGTTGTCAGATGTTCTACATAAAATGCGGTCCATACATATTAACATATTTAAGATATAGAATTGTTCCGCTGAATTTGGCAATGTAGCTGGAAAACCCAGGCCGCAGGTAAACATCCGGTCGCTGATTGGTCCAAAACTCTTATCTTATCTGAAACTAGAATAACGTGCCGATGGCACGGTCATTTATAAACCTACTCCCATAGGCGTAGGCAGTTGGCAAATACTTTGAAAATATAATTTACTGTTTAGTGGTGATAATGGAATTCAAGCATGGGAAAGTTATTCACAGCCAGGCAAGGGAAATAATAGCAAACGTGATACGTGCTTGCGA